CGCGTGCCAGTTGAGTCCTGGCTGCTCCATTTCCAACCCAGCTCCCTGCTATTGGCCTGTGAAAGCAGCGGAAGATGGCCCAAGTGCTTGGGCCCCTGCATCTGTGTGGGAGAACCAGAGGAAGCTGCTGGTTCCTGGTTTCAGCTCTGGCCCAGCTCCGGCTGTTATGGCCACTTAGGGAGTGAACCAGCAAATGGAAGACCTCTGTCTCTTCCTCTCAAATAAATAAAATAAATCTTAAAAACAAAACAAAAAACAGTGTCAGGACAGTTCCTTCCAATGACTTTCTAGGGAGCTAAATATTTTCACACTAATGGTGGAAATAGTATTTCTTTTTATGTATTTATTTGAGAAGCAGAGTTAGAGAGAGAGGGACAGAGAGAGGTGTTCCATCCCCTGCTTCGCTTCCCATATGGCCACAACGGCAGTACTGGGCTTGAGAAGAAAGGAGCTTCTTCCAGGTCTCCCACACAGGGTGCAGGGACCCAAGCACTTGGCCATCTTCCACTGCCTTCCCAGGCCATAAGCAGAGAGCTGGAACAGAAGAGGAGCAGCCAGGACTCAAACTGATGCCCATACGGGATGCCAGTGCTGCAGGTGGAGGCTCAGCCTACTACACCACAGAGCCAGCACCAGAAATAATATTTTAAATGATGGTTTTTCTGGTTTGAAATACCCTGCTACCTATTCAACAACCAAGAAACACTCCCATTCTCTAGGCAAACAGGAAAAACCTTTTTTTTTTTTTTTTAAGATTATTTATTTATTTATTTGAGAGATAGAGTTACAGACAGTGAGAGTGAGAGACAGAGAGAAAAGTCTTCCTTCCATTGGTTCACTCCCCAAATGGCCACAACCGTCGGAGCTGCACTGATCTGAAGCCAGGAGCCAGGTGCTTCTTCCTGGTATCCCATGCAGGTACTGGGGCCCAAGCACTTGGGCTATCTTCTACTGCTTTCCCAGGCCACAGCAGAGAGCTGGGTTGGAAGAGGAACAACTGGGACTAGAACCTGCGCCTATACGGGATGCCGGCTCCGCAGGCGGAGGATTAACCTACTGCACCCCAGCCCCAGCCCCTTAAGCCCCTTACAGGAAAATTCTTAACAGGCCTAGCAAAACTCCAAAGGCAATTATGCCTCAGAGAACAGATTACTCTACAAAGCATAGCATCAACATTATCTTGCTTAATCAACTAAACTGTTTTAGTTAGCAGAGGGGCAGGAAAATCAAATACCTTTCTTATTTTTGTTCCACAGAACCTCCAAATTTTGTTTCTAGGTACTTTTGACCTAAAGACAGGATTATCTTCTGAACATTTAGTTTCAATTATGTCTGGATCAGAAGTTAAAGCCGATGTTGTTAAGTCTTAACATCACTGCATTTGATATTTTAACTGAGAGAAAAGTAGACCATTCTAACAGCTTGAGTGAAAGCTTACAAACATTCTAGGGAAAAACAATTTGTGAAACAATTCCTATAATAAAACCAATAGTCAGTGACAGAAGGTGATACTCAGGATTATGTGAAATGAAGTGCTGAGCAGTAAGCTACATTTTTAGGAGTCATTTTCAACCCATGCTGCCCTCTCCAGCCATTCTGTTGCTTCAAAAATAGCACTTCCATCCCACCTACCTTACCTTTCTGGAGATTGAAGAGACATTCAAACCAAATCTTTGAGCTCTTTCCTTTAGCTTATCCAGATTAACCTACACAAAGGGAGGAAAAAAAAGCATAGTATAAAAAATCAAAACAGAAAATAGAGAGGTAATAACCATGGTCCAATGCTAAAAGTACTCCATGTGCCAAATTAGGAACCTAAGCACCACCAAATCAACATCACGGATTATTAAAAAGTCTCTTGTAGAGGGGCCGGCTCCATGGCACAGGTTAATACTCCGCCTGTGGTGCTGGCATCCCATATGGGCTCCGGTTCTAGTCCCAGCTGCCCCTCATCCAATCCAGCTCTCTGCTATGGCCTGGGAAGAGAGTAGAGGAAGGCCCAAGTGCTTGGGCCCCTGCACCTGCACGGGAGACCAGGAAGAAGCACCTGGCTCCTGACTTCAGACTGGCGCAGCTCCAGCTGTTGCGGCCATCTGGGGGGTGAACCAACGGAAGGAAGACCTTTCTGTCTCTCCCTCTTGCTGTCTGTAACTCTACCTCTCAAATAAAGAAAGAAAATCTTAAAAAAAAAAAAAAAGTCTCTTGCAGAACGCAGCAAATGATTCAGCCCTGGGGCTGGTGTTGTGACTTAGCAGGTAAAGCCACTGCCTGCAATGCTGGCATCCCATTTGGCAGCCAGTTAGTGTCCCAGCTGCTCCACTTCTGATCCTGCTCCGGCTAATGGCCTGGAAAAACAGTGGAAGACGGTCCAACTGTTTGGACTACTGCTGCCCATATAGAAAACCTAGAAGAAGCTCTTGGCTCCTGACTTTGGTCTGGTTCAATTCCTGGCCACTGCAGCCATTTGGGGAGTGAAGCAGCAGGTAGAAGATCTCTCTCGGCCGGTGCCGTGACTCACTAGGCTAATCCTCCGCCTTGCGCACCGGCACACCGGGTTCTAGTCCCAGTTGGGGCACCAGATTCTGTCCCAGTAGCCCCTCTTCCAGGCCAGCTCTCTGCTGTGGCCAGGGAGTGCAGTGGAGGATGGCCCAAGTGCTTGGGCCCTGCACCCCATGGGAGACCAGGAGAAGCACCTGGCTCCTGCCATCGGATCAGCGCGGTGCGCCAGCCGCATCGCGCCGGCCATTGGAGGGTGAACCAACAGCAAAAGGAAGACAAAAAAAAAAAACAAGAGTCTGCTATGCATGTCAGAAAAAAAAAAAAAAAAAAAATCCGAAAAAAGAAAAAAAAAAAGGTCTCTCTCTATATATAACTCTTTCAAACAAATAAATCTTTTTTGTTTTTATTTGACAGAGTTACAGACAGTGTGAGAGAGAGAGAGAGACAAAGAAAAAAAGTCTTCCTTCCATTGGTTCACTCCCCAAATGGCCGTTACAGCCGGCGCTGTGCCGATCTGAGACCAGCTTCCTCATGGTCTCCCATGCAGGTGCACGGGCCCAAGCACTTGGGCCATCCTCCACCGCCCTCCTGGACCACAGCAGAGAGCTGGACTGGAAGAGGAGCAACCGGCACTAGAACCTGGCGCCCATATGGGATGCCAGCACCGCAAGGTGGAGGATTAACCAAGCGAGTCACAGCACCGGCTCTTAAAAAAAAAAAAAATGAAACAGATCCAGCCTTGCTCCTTGCTCCTTCATCCATGGAAGGTGACAAGAGCCTAAGGAGGTAAAATCAAAGCAGGGCAAACACTGCTTGGAAAGGCAAACGTGTAAATCATTACCTCCAAGTAAGTGCATCATTCACAGTCCAAAATCATAATTACCACACAGCTTACGTAAGCAGTTCTTAACACTATCATCAAGCAAAGAGAACTCTCAAGTGCTCAGCAGCTCTAAGGGTGAGATGCAGAAGAAGCTACAGGGCTGAAATTGAGGTGGTAGTTGCCAATAATCTGCTCTCTATGGCAATCTAGGCCTGGAAAGTGTGCACCAGTGGTGCGGAGGTGGACAGAGTATGCACCTGGTGGCATCAGCACTTTTTGGCTCATCTCCTCACCCCGTCCCAGGACCCCAGGTGTTTTACTAGATCACAGTTGACCACTGCCAGCTTCCCTGGGAGGGCCACCAGGTCTTCCGTTTTTCTCAGAAATATCTTTTTTCTTAAAAAAAGATTTATTTATTTTATTTTAAAGGCAGAGTTAACAGAAAGGCAGAGGCAAGCAGAGAGGTCTTTCATCCACTGGCTCACTCCCCAAATGACCACAATGGCTGGAGCTACGCCGATTTGAAGCCAGAAGTCAGGAGCTCCTACATGGGTGCAGGGGCCCAAGCACTTAGGCTGTCTTCCACTGCTTTCGCATGTCATAGCAGAGAGCTGGATCAGAAGTGGAACAGCCCAGATTCAAGCCAGTGCCCATATAGGATGCTGGCACTGCAGGTGGTGGCTTTATCCGCTACGCCACAGCACCAGCCCTCTTGGAAACATCTTTACAGCCTGTCTCGGAAGCCTCTCTCTACTCTCATTTCTCTTCTGGATCATCGGCACACTCCCGTGTGCTCTCCTTGCTTAAAGTGCCCTCCTTCCCTGGGCCTCAGACATGCCACCTTGTGTTTCCTGTTCTATCCCTTGGGCTCTCCCAGCCTAGGATGACCTCCCTGTTCCCTGCTCCATGACCAACCACTTGTCAGTCACAGTCCTGCAAACTCCCTCATCTACCGCTTTATGCTGGGTATGGCCAATGCTGGCCACATAAGCATGGGGACAGTGTCCTACTCTCTTGGCACTCAAAAAGGACTTTGTAAGTCATCACTGAAGGCATATATGAATGGGAAGCTTGTATCTAGTCTTTGGAGTGTTATGGTGTGCTGTTTTCTGATACAAGGATTGGCAATTTTGGTGGCTTTACTCTAGGTGAGGGAGCAAAATACAGGAACTAAAATGCTTTATTCTGATGGAAGAAGAAAATCCTTAGGAAGAACCTTTTACTGTCACTATCAGAGCAAGTAATACATTATAAAGAATGTAATCAAGGATGGTTGTTAAAAGAAATGGTGAAAAATCAGCACTGATACTATGCTAGAATCAGATTGGCAAGCAAGGCTGTTAGCAAGCCATCCAACAGAGTGAGGGGCAGTTTTGCTATGTATACACACAATCTCTAAGATTTACCCACAGAATCCTATGGCTAGGTGTGCAACTCCTGAGGAAGACTTTCGCAGCATCTTCTGCGTACATGCTTCTGCATACAATATAAAGCATCTTTCTGTTTTTAGAAAAATGTTCTTTCTCAAAATTTGATTAAAGCTCAAATAATAACATCTGTCAAATAAACAGTCCACTGAAGCACTCAATCCTCTTCTCTCCATTTTTGTGGAAGCTTTAGTATACAAGACTTGTTATCATAATGGTGTTTAGGACGTCTTCATTAACAGTAACAATAATTTAACATTTCACCTTTATTGGCAATACTGAACAATAACCCCAAAAGCAGGATTTCATAAGGCTGAATGTATGAAAACACTTCATAAAGTTTGTAGAAAACAATTAAAATATTGTTTATTATAGTGCAAAACATTTTTTTTTTGACAGGCAGAGTTAGACAGTGAGAGAAAGAGAGAGAGAGAGAGAGAGAAAGGTCTTCCTTCCATTGGTTCACTCCCCAAATGGCCGTTACAGCCAGCGCTGTGCTGATCTGAAGCTAGGAGCTTCCTCCTGGTCTCCCATGGGAGTGCAGGGGCCCAAGCACTCGGGCCATCCTCCACTGCCTTCCCGGGCCACAGCAGAGAGCTGGACTGGAAGAGGAGCAACCAGGACAGAATCCGGCGCCCCAACTGGGACTAGAACCCGGGGTACCGGCGCCGCAGGCAGAGGATTAGCCAAGTGAGCCTCGGCACTGGCCTGGTGCAAAACATTTTGCAGCCAAGGCATAATTTTTTTCAAAACATATATTTTCCATTAACTTTTTGAAGTTCCTTTTAATTTCACCATAGCATTTCTATTTTCTTTTTTAAGATTTTCTATTTATTTATTTGAGAGATAGAGTTACAGATAGTAAGAGGAAGAGACAGAGAGAAAGGTCTTCCCTCCGTTGGTTCACTCCCCAAACAGCCGCAACAGCCGGAGCTGCGCCGATCCGAAGCCAGGAGCCAGGAGATTCCTCAGCGTCTCCACACAGGTGCAGGGGTCCAAGTACCTGGGCCATCCTCTACTGCTTTCCCAGGACACAGCAGAGAGCTGGATGGGAAGAGGAGCAGCCGGGACTAGAACCAGCACCCATACGGGATGCCGGCGCTGTAGGCAGAGGATTAACCTACTGCGCCACGGTGCCAGCTCCTCTTTCTATTTTCTAAACATGCTAACTAGTCACACTGGTCCAGTAGGCCATTCTTATACTATTACTTACTTTGATTTTAAATTTAATAGGCAGTATTAGAAAATAGTAATATCTACAAGTAGAATTCATAAATTTATCTCCAAATTCTCTTTTGGTAATAACTAGACATTAACTAAAGCACCAAACAAGATCTAAAAACTGTACCATAAGAAGGGTTATATGAATTTTCTACTAGCTAACAAAATCTATATATCTTTTCAAAACAAGAGTGGTACAAAGAAAAATATCTACCATTAACTTTTGAAGATGTAGTAACTTTCGGACCTCTCAGTACCTCAAACAATTTTTTTAAAATTCAGGACATGTAACGCTATGCCAAAAACAGTCACTGAACTCGTGATTTAAGAATTTCTTCTGATGTGGGGAAAAGGATGAGTCTCTGACTTTAACTGTATGCAGCTATGACCTGGCTCATCAAAGGATAAAAAGATTTCTTACCGTAGGCTTGGTGTCAGATGACAGACCTAAGAAAAAAAAGAAAGTTTCATTTAATATTTTTTTGAGGTCATAAAGGAAACCAATAGTCTTCAATCAAATTAGCCTAAAGACACTACAAATGACAAACGGCTTTTATCTTATGATGAGAAGAAAAAGGCAAAAATCACAGTTAGAAAATAAGTCTGCCTTCATTATTAGTGGGAACATGAAACAATAAAGCTACTTGGAAAAGCAATTTGGTAGTTCTTTGGGTATTCAGCCTAGTGACTAAGATGCCTACGTGCTTGGGGAAGCAAGGCTCAGGATCCTGACTCCAGTTTCCACCTACTGCACTCCCTAGGGGACAAGGTGATGGCCTGATGAGTTTCTTACCACCCACAAGGAAAACCTGAATTGCGTTTCTGTCTCCTTGCTTCAGCCTGGCCCAGCCCAGCCCAGTCCCACCCCCATGGAGCATGCATCTGGGGAATGAACCAGTGAATGGGTGCACTCACACATGAGCTATCAATTTTTTTTAAAAAGGAAAAAAAAGTCAAACAGTAGAGCCGTATAACCCAACAATTTTATATACTCAAGAGAAATGAAAACACATGTCCACATACAAACTTGTAAAGAAAATATTCACAGCATTATTCATATTAGACAAAAAATGAAAACAACCCAAACATCCATCAATCGATGACTGGATAAATAAAATGTGGTACATCCATGAAATGGAATATTAATAAAAATAATGAAGCAGTGACACATGCTACAACATAGATGAACCTTGAAAACATCAGCCAGGCCGGCGCCGCGGCTCACTAGGCTAATCCTCCGCCTTGCAGCGCTGGCACACCAGGTTCTAGTCCCGGTCGGGGTGCCGGATTCTGTCCCGGTTGCCCCTCTTCCAGGCCAGCTCTCTGCTGTGGCCAGGGAGTGCAGTGGAGGATGGCCCAAGTGCTTGGGCCCTGCAGCACCCCATGGGAGACCAGGATAAGTACCTGGCTCCTGCCTTTGGATCAGTGCGGAGCGCCAGCCGCAGCGCACCAGTCACAGCGCCCATTGGAGGGTGAACCAACAGCAAAGGAAGACCTTTCTCTCTGTCTCTCTCTCACTGTCGACTCTGCCTGTCAAAAATAAAAAAATAAAAATAAAAAATAAAAAAAAAAAGAAAGCATCAGCCTAAGTTAAAGAAGCCAAGCACAAATGATTATTTATTATGATTTCATTTCTATGAAGGCAAATTTTTTTTTAAGATTTATTCATTTATTTGAAAGGCAGAGTTACAGAGAGGGAGAGGGAAAGGGAGAGACAGATCTTCTATCCGCTAGGTCACCCCCCAAATGGCTGTATGGCCAGAAGCTGGGCTGGTCCCAAGCCAGGAACCAGGAGCTCCTTCCAGGTCTCCCACATGGGTGTAGGGGCCCAAGCATCTGGGCCATCCTCTGCTGCATTCCTAGGCACATTAGCAGGGAGCAGGAATGGAAGTGGAGCAGCTGGGACTTGAATTAGCACCTATATGGGATGCCAGCACCGCAGCTGACTTCACTTGCTATGCCACAGCACCAGCCCTGAAAGGCAATTTTCTATAGAGAAAAAAATGTGGGGCCAGTGCTGTGGGTAGGTTAAGCCTCCATCTGCATTGCCAGCATCCCAAATGGGTGCTAATTCAAGCCCCAGTTGCTCCACTTCCATTCCAGCTCCCTGTTAATGTGCCTAGGAATGCAGCAGAGGATGGCCCAGATGCTTGGGCCCCTACACCCATGTGGGAGACCTGGAAGGAGCTCCTGGTTCCTGGCTTGGGACCAGCCCAGCTTCTGGCCATACAGCCATTTGGGGGGTGACCTAGCGGATAGAAGATCTGTCTCTCCCTTTCCCTCTCCCTCTCTGTAACTCTGCCTTTCAAATAAATGAATAAATCTTAAAAAAAAATTTGCCTTCATAGAAATGAAATCATAATAAATAATCATTTGTGCTTGGCTTCTTTAACTTAGGCTGATGCTTTCTTTTTTTTTTTATTTTTTATTTTTATTTTTTTATTTTTGACAGGCAGAGTCGACAGTGAGAGAGAGACAGAGAGAAAGGTCTTCCTTTGCTGTTGGTTCACCCTCCAATGGCCGCTGTGACTGGTGCGCTGCGGCTGGCGCTCCGCACTGATCCAAAGGCAGGAGCCAGGTACTTATCCTGGTCTCCCATGGGGTGCTGCAGGGCCCAAGCACTTGGGCCATCCTCCACTGCACTCCCTGGCCACAGCAGAGAGCTGGCCTGGAAGAGGGGCAACCGGGACAGAATCCGGCACCCCGACTGGGACTAGAACCCGGTGTGCCGGTGCCACAGGTGGAGGATTAGCCTAGTGAGCTAAGGTGCTGGCCATGATGAGTATTTCTAAAATCAGACAGAGATGATGGTTCACAACTCTCAGAATATAGTAAAAAAAAAAAAAAAAAAAGTGAATTATATACTTCCAATGGATGAAGTACATGGCATATGAACTACTAATAGCATTTCAGTAAAGCTGTTACAAAAGACAGAGAGAAGTAATAGCTGGACAAATATGTCAAACTACCATCATGAATTAAAATTATGGCATCTTAAGGCAATGTTCTGTCCTAAAATTATCACTAAAAAAGCAACAATAAATTGGCCAGTAGGCTAAACCCTAACTTAATAAATATTTATTTCAAATTTTTCAAATGCCCTCAACAGTTGGGACTGGAATAGATCAAAGCCAGGAACCCACAACCCAGTCCAGGTCTCCCATGCGGGTAGCAGAGACCCAAGTATTTGAGCCAACACTTGCGGCCTCTCAGGATGTCCATTAGCAGGAGGATGGATTAGAAGTGGAGCCAAGTCTCAAATCAGGCACTCTGATACGGGATGAGGGCATAAAGTGGCTACTCAGCCACTTAGCCAAACACCTACCACCCAACGGCATGAATTTTAAAAACAAAAAAGGGACAAGCATTTGGCATGGTAGTTAAAATGCCCACATCCCATACTGGAATGTCTGTGTTCACATCCCAGGTTCCCTACTGTGCAAACCTGGGAGGCAACAGGTGATGGCTCAAGTACTTGGGTCTCTGCCACCCACATGGAAGGCACAGATTAGGTTTGGGCTCCTGGCTTTGGCTTCAGTCTCACCCAGGCCCAGCTGTTGTGGGAATCTAGGGAATCAACCAGAGGATGCAGTCTCTCTCCATTCCTCTGCTTTTCAATTAAAAACTAAAATAAATAAAGTTAAAAAACAAACAGAAAAGTACTCAAAATCCTACCAACCAGACTGTAACTGCTATTTTAGTATATATACTTCTAGTATTTTTTCTTATCCGTACATGTACTATTTACTTATTTATTTGAAAGTTGGAGGCATAGAGAGGGAGAGACAGAATCTTCCATCCACTGTTTCACTCCCGAAATGGCCAAAACAGCTAGAGCTGGGCCAATCCAAAGTCAGGAGCCAGGAGCTTCTTTTGGGTCTTCCACACAGATGCAGGCGCCTAAGCACTTGGGCCGTCTTCCACTACTTTCCCAGGCCATCAACAAGGAGCTGGATTGGAAGTTGAATAGCCGGGACTCAAACCAGTGCCCATGTGGGATGCCAGCAATGCAGGTGGAGGCTTAACCCATTGTGCCATGGCGCCAGGCTCCATTGTATGATCTTCTATTATACTATGCCAGATATTTGCTTAGTCAATTCTCCACTGAATTTTTAGTTGTTTCTAGTTATGACTATAAATAATGTTATGGGTTCTAGTCCCGGCTGCTCCTCTTCCAGTCCAGCTCTCTGCTGTGGCCCGGGAAGGCAGTGGAGGATGACCCAAGTGTTTGGGCTCCTACACCCACATGGGAGACCAGGAAGAAGCACCTGGCTCCTGGCTTCGGATCAGTGCAACACCGGCCGTGGCGGCCATTTGGGGAGTGAACCAACGGAAGGAAGACCTTTCTCTCTGTCTCTCTCTCTCTCACTGTCTATGACTCTACTTTTCAAATTAAAAATAATAATAATAATAATGCTCATGGCTGTCTTTAAAGCACATCCAATATTACTTACTTGAAGGTACTTAGGAGGAAAACTATTAAGACAAAGGTACTCTTTTCTCTTTCATTTCCTTTTATAATAGCCAGTAACAACTGGATAGGCATAATTTTTTTTTTTTTTTTAATTTTTTTGACAGGCAGAGTGGACAGTGAGAGAGAGAGAGAGAGAAAGGTCTTCCTTTGCCGTTGGTTCACCCTCCAATGGCCGCTGCGGCTGGTGCACCGCGCTGATCCGAAGCCAGGAGCCAGGTGCTTCTCCTGGTCTCCCGTGGGGTGCAGGGCCCAAGCACTTGGGCCATCCTCCACTGTACTCCCTGGCCACAGCAGAGAGCTGGCCTGGAAGAGGGGCAACCGGGACAGAATCCGGCACCCCGACCGGGACTAGAACCCGGTGTGCCGGCGCCGCAAGACGGAGGATTAGCCTAGTGAGCCGCGGCGCTGGCCAAATAATTTTAAGCTTTTAAGACACTAAAATAGGGACAGGTATTTAGCCTAGTGGTTACAACACCACATCTGGGAGGCTGGCATGTGGCACAGAAGGTTAAGCTGCTGCTTGGGCCTGCATCCCATATTGGAGAGCCAGTTCAAGCCCTGGCTGTTTGGCTTCTGACCCAGCTTCTGGCTAAAGCATAGGAGAAAGCAGCAGATGATGGCTCAAGCACTTGGGCCCATACCACCAACGTGGTAGACTAGGATGGAGTTCCTGCCTCCTGGTTTTAGCCTAGCCCAGACTGTGGCCATTAAGGTAGTAAACCAGCAGATGGAAGCTCTCTGTCATTCTGCCTTTCAAAAAATAAAGCCTCCAATCTGAAATGCCAGCATCCCATATTAGAGCACTAGTTTGAGTTCTGGCCATTTAGCTCCCAGTTATTTCTCCTGGGAAAGCAGTGGAAGGTGATCCAAGCAGTTGGGTCCCTGCCACCAATGTGGAAGACCTGAATGGAGTTCTAGGCTCCTGGTTTTGGCCTGGCCCAGCCCTGGATATTGCAGTCATTTGGGGGAGTGAACCAGTAGATGGGAGATGTCTACTGGTTCACTTTGTCTCTTCCTATCACTCTTTCAAATAAATAAAAATTAAAATCTTAAAAAAAAAAAAGGTTATATCACACACTGGAGTATACGGGTTTGATACTTGACTCCAGCTCCCACTTCCTGCTGATGCAGATACTGGGAGACAGAAGGTGATGGCTCAGTAGCTGGATCCCCATATAAGAGATCTGGATTGAGATTCCAGCTCCAGGTTTCAGCCTAGACCAATTCTAGCCACTGCAGGCATCTTGGGAATGAAAAAGTATATGGGAGCTCCCATTTTTCCTCTCTCAGCCTCTTAAGTAGAAGAAAGAAAAAGACGACTAAAAAAAGAAGGCACTAGAAACTGCTCTGAAGATGTTCAAGGAATGAATGGCAAATGCTGGTACTTTCCATTCTTTCGTAACTTCGGAACCTTTTTTTTAATTGGCCAGAAGGCTCAGTATGATTTTATCTAAAGCAAAGAGGTGAATACCATAATCTATTATGGGCTTCTAGAACTAACAAGTTTATATTAATTTGAAGAAATCAAATCTGTTGTGTCGGCAAATAAAGAATATAGACAGCTTTCTTCTAAGAGTTTCTTTATCCTTACCTTTTGTTGGAACTGAAGAAATCCCAAACCTGCAGAAAGAAAAACAAGCTTAATTTTAGGAAGCCATTCACACTCCTGGTTGTCTGTGTCCGTGTCAAGTGTACACATGACACTTCTCCCTTGTGATCTCCAGCTTTGCAATCATTAGCTAATTCTAACAACCTCATGAAAGAGGTTCAGTTTACTCTCCTTCTCACCAAGGTCCACAGAATAAGCTAAAAGGAAGCCTTACCAGAATCAGGAGTAGTAGTCAGTTCTTGGCTTTTACATATTACAAAAAATCCTGTTCAATAATAAAGATCTATCTACAGCTACTGCACCCAAATCAGCAGAGATGTTCTGAGTACAGCCCAAAAGAGTGCATTTCTTTATAGCAAGGCTTATATTCTATTGAAAATTTATATATATGTATATATGTGTGTATACATATACATATATATATAAAACCTAGGATTCACCTTCATTACTATTACAATTTCAGGTCCACAAGTCTAGGAACACTCACCTAGCTGCCCGAGCAGCTTTCTTACTCTCCAAGCTCACAGGTACATTGAATCGTTCAGCCCTCTTCTGCATTCTCTACATGATAACAGATGAAAAAAAAAGGAGAAAAAAATTCAACTTTTGGCTTCAAGAAAGTTGGTTAGAGACAGATATCTTAAGAGTACCAGTAGTAATTTCTTAGGGTCTAAACTGATAATCCTGGAGGATAACAGGTTGTGTCCAACCTAGAGCTTAACTCAATAGCCTTTTCCAGAAAGCAAGCACAAAGAGACTATTATTACATTGATTCCCTCAAAAACAAAAGGGTGGAATAAAATAAATAAAACCCACATTCTACATGAAGTCAAGAAGACAAAAGCTGTGTTTGGTTGACCTTTCAAAGGGGATCAAAGGAACAGCTTGGTTCCAACACTAGCAGCACTCTTCCATGGTTAGAAATGAGGCAGCGTTGTCTTATGCCATTCTAAGAGTTTAATAACCCTCTACTTTGAAGGTACAAAATCAAACACAAGATCTCAACTGGAACCTAGTTTCACAGATCTTAAGACAAAATCCAGAGAAATTTTAATCTCACCTGTTAGCAAGTAGCAATTTAAAAATAACATCTATGTTCGTTATTTTTTCAAGGTATACTCCTCCTGAATTGTAATCTTAAACTTGTAAACATTTTAGAGAGTTACCAGGAAGACTACAGTATTTTACACAAAAGGACTGCAGCTTCAAAGGTGATTATCTACTATGCCAGCTCAAATATTTTCCCAAGAGTAATTGGTAGAAAAATGTACCAACACCAATATCTGTGAATACTGATTTTTCTGCTTATGATTAATTTTTTAAGTGATGCAGATAAAGAGTAAGAAACAGAACACAGAGATTGCTTTTCTACTAGGGAGCAGAATACCCACCTCAGTCTGTGGTATTTCAGATGTAATTTTTACCACTTTCTTTTCTGCTGCCCTGCAAGAGAAGAGACTTTTAAAAATACGAAAACTGATATTCTAAACCAAACCTTAGACACACATAAGAAAGTTGTCTGAGTCATGTCCTCTGCCCCATATGTCTCGGCCACCCCTTAGCCCCAAGAAACATGAAGTTCATTAGAACTTTGGTTCCTTGAGAGGAGTTCAAGTAACGGACTAAGCTACATGAGCTAAGGTCTAAGAAATCAATCAGGACAAAGTCTGCTTAAATATACTGGGCTGAAGGGAAATACTCAAAGGATATCAGAAACCATCTCATTTTCTTTTAGGGACTTTAAGTTTACTTTTGGACTAATGATTGTCCTTTCAACCCTCATTTAAATACTACCTCTCAATTTTCATCACAACAATAATTAATGAGTGCTTTATAAGCCCCAGTTTCCTCCTTTTACAAATCCTTATTTCTCCCTTGGGGACTGTAGCTCCAGCTCAAAGTCAAAATGGAACAAATAAAAATGCCAAAGGAGGTGGGAAGAAAAAAGGCTAAAGGGAATTTGAATTAGGAAAACATGGTCAGTTACTGGTCAAAAGGTTTAAGAGAAAACAAAAGAGGGGGGACCATAGGGGCGGGAGACAAAGTTCGGAAGTACCCAGGATAAATGGAAGGGCATTAACCCTCCACCAAACAACTCCCATAAAACTGTGGGTCATAACCAGTCTCATTAAGGTCCCTCATTTAGAGACATGGGCGGCTTTTGTTCCAATAACCCGGACACTTTTCCCATTTGATGCCCTGAAAGGTAGTAATGGTTTAATGACATTTTCAGAGGAAGCAATTCTAGAACAGGAACTTACTCTCTCCTCCATCCTTTTGTTAGAGGCTCCTGGACTGACAAGCAATGGGTGCCCCCTGCTGACCATAACTAGATCCTACAATAATTAATTGCCTTGGCTAAAGAAAAAAAAAATCAAAACTAGAAAGATATATTTTCGAGAACCTCAAGCCAAAGATGAAAACAAAGGATATCCCTTTGAATAATCAAGAATATAAATCAGTCCTGCATACTTTTTATGAAATTTTTTGCTTCCTAATTCCAGCCATCCTTCCCCAATGTTTTCTGCCTTGTTTAGGGGAAAAAAAAAAAAAAAAAAAAGGACAAAAGTTTAATGTTTTACTTGAAGTCCAATGCCATTAAGAGAGCAGTTCTCTCCATCAACCCAATGTAATGACTTTCTCCACAGCCTCATCCTCAAGTACAATCACTGCAGTACATCTCACGGCAGAAAGGGAATTCTTGAGAGGAAGTTTTCTTCTACTCTATTCCAATTCCCTTAGGCACAATTGAACTCAAGTAATAAACAAACATCACATTCTGGGATCTATGGGACCATTTCTACTCTTCACTGAAAAAACTCTCTCCTGTCCAAAGTTACATATAAAACACTACCCCAAACTACAGGGACTCAGGATCTTTCTGTATACACTTTACTAAAACTATTTTAAGAAAAATGAACTTGAACAAAACTTTTCAAATTTCCTTGCTTTTTAACCCAAACAAGCAATTACTCTTCTCAATTGATCTTCCTTCTTTTCCCAGAAGTCCCCAAAATATTTTAAAGCTATACCACTCAAGTCATTTTCTCAAGGTATTGTATTTAATCATAAACCTCCTATGATGGAAAAATTAACTAAATGGTTTTAGAAAGTAATATTTGGCCGGCGCTGCAGCTCACTAGGCTAATCCTCCGCCTTGCGCACCGGCACACCGGGTTCTAGTCCCGGTCGGGGCGCTGGATTCTGTCCCGGTTGCCCCCATTCCAGGCCAGCTCTCTGCTGTGGCCAAGGAGTGCAGTGGAGGATGGCCCAAGTGCTTGGGCCCTGCACCCCATGGGAGACCAGGATAAGTACCTGGCTCCTGCTATCGGACCAGCGCGGTGCGCCGGCCGCAGCGGCCATTGGAGGGTGAACCAACGGCAAAAGGAAGACCTTTCTCTCTGTCTCTCTCTCTCACTGTCCACTCTGCCTGTCAAATAAAAATAAATAAATAAATAAAAATTAAAAAAAAAAAAAAGAAAGTAATATTTGACAAAATCTATCCAAATGTTAAATGTACATCCTTTGGACTGGCACTGTGACACAGTGGGGTAAGCCCCTTTTGATATACAGGATCCCATATGGGCACCAGTTTGTGTCACAGCCACTCCACTTCTGTTCCAATTCCCTGTTAATGTGCCTAGGAAGGTGGTAGAGAATGGCCCTAGTGTTTGGGGCCCAGCCACCCATGTGGGAGATGATCCAGATAAATTCCAGGTTCCTAGCTTTAGCATAGCACAGTCCCAACTGCTGCAGACATTTGGAGAGTAAACCAGCAGATGGAAGATCACTCGCTCTCTCCCACCACCTCCCCTTGCAACTCTTCCTTTCAAATAAACCGATCTTTATAAAAACATTCACATCCTCTATGATGCAGCAAATCCGCAGCTAACAATCTGTACCATGAGGGCATTGTGGCTTAGCAGGTAAAGCCACTAACTGCAACACTGGCATCCCATATGGGTGCTAATTCATGTTGCAGCTGCTCCACTTCCGATCCAGCTCCCTGTTAATAGCCTGGCAAAAGCAGCAGAATATGGCCCAAGTGTTTGGGCCCCTGCCACCCACACAGGAGACCTGGAGGAAGCTCCTGGCTCCAGTATGGCCCAGCCCTGGCCATTGTGGCCATTTGGGGAATGAACCGGAGGATGGAAGACTTCTCTCTCTGTCTCTGACTTTCAAATAAATGAATAAATCTTAAAAAAAAAAAACACCTGTTCCATGGACATCCTCGCATAATATAAATATAAAAATAATCAGAACAAGGAATATCTAAATGCCCATCAACCAGAGACGGGTGAAATAAATTACTGTTTATTCACAAAATGCAGTACTATTAGTGGCTAGAAATAATGTTCTAAGCTGAGAATTACCAAATCTGGGTGATGGGTATATAATAGTCTATTATACTATCCTAACTTTTTTCCATACTTTAAATTTCCCAAAACAAGCTAAAAGAAAAAGAGACAGACTTAACACTTACTAAGTATCCCTACTTATAGAATCAATGTGAGGATTATTTGAGTGTATGTGTAAAATACTTAGAACTATATCTAACATAACATTTAAATTAGGATATGATGATGATGATATAGGAATATCTCCAGATGGGGAGGGCATTGTGGTGCAGCAGGTTAATCTGCTACTTGCGATACCAGCATCCCATATCAGAGCACCAGTTCAAGTCCAAGCTGCTCTGCTTCGAATCCAGTTTCCTACCAATGTGCCCAGGGAAGGTAGCACAGGATGACTCAAATGCCTGGGCCCTTGCATGTGGGAAACCCATATGAAATTCCTGGCTCTCTGCTTCATCTTGGTCCAGCCACGGTCACTGTGTCTGTTGCAGGAGTGAATCAGCGCACGGAAGATCAATCTCTCTGTGTCCCTCCCTGTCTGTCATTCTGCCTTTCAAATAAATGAATCTTTAAAAAAAAAAAAAAAAAAACTCCAGATGTGAAAAAAAAACAAGAGTGTCCATATCATGTGTATACATATACCTATACATACACATTCACAGACACACATTTTACTCATTCCAAAACAATGTGCAAAAAACCTCTGGGAATTCAAATGAGGTGGAAACAAAGGGTACTTAATTTTCTATATACTTCACTATGTACCGATTTGTACTTACACATCAACTGTTTTCAATGTGCTGGAGTACAAAATGGTCAAGGCAGTTGTGGGAAAATTCCCATAAAAAAGATGTTTATGATCAACCTTGTAGGATAGTTTAAACAAAAGACAAATTCTACCCAACACCTTCCTTTCTCAAAAAACTAGTTATATTATGGAAAAGAAAAGAGTAGCAGAGTTTAGAGAATTTTACATTCAGATTCTCTATACAGTCATAGAATAATCTACTACGGTGATCCTCAAAAAGAACAACAAAAACTAGGAGAACTAAACTGTCTGAGCTGGAAGTCACCTGGTCCTAATTACCTTTTAGAAAACTTAAGAGACAAACTGCTTTGCTACATTGGGACCATATACATGAGAGTAAAACAGACTCTTCAGGAAATGTATGATCCAACAGAAAGGAAAAGGCCAGTGGGAATGTGGAAGAGGCAAACAGAGTGAAACATAACACCCAATAAAAACAGGTCTGCTCTGTACTGAGATTATAGAAAAAATATAATTACACATCAATGTTTTTTTCAGGGGGTTCCTCCTCTTTGACAGGCAATTCTATGGGCTTTGGTTCTTCTTCCTAAAACCAAATGAAACAAAATGGTTAACATAAAGCTAGAGTAAATACCCAAAAGAATATCAGAACCCCAAAGTTAATCAGTATCTCAGAACCTTAATTCCCCTTGTGTGCTCCCTTAATAAATTAGCATCTCAGACCTGCCATGACTGATGCTAAGCAGTGTGGCCAAGGCAAAACAAGATCAGGTCAGTGGCTAACTTTACTCCTCCAACTCACCTCTGTTTCATCTCCCAGTACATCTTCTTCATTTGCCTCCTCTTCAGCTAAAGAATATTAAAATATTCAGGTCAAGCCCTGCTACAAAACCATCTTGATCACTGTACTACAGTTAAAATTATGATCATTTTGTTTTCCCAAAGTAAAATTTAGTATTTAAGGCAGAACTGATACAAAAACTATTTCCTACATATGAAGAAGATAAAATCAGATCTCTACTTAACATCGATATGAAACTGAACTTCAGCTACACTAAAGAAATAAATGTGATAACGTCAAACTATAAAAGTAATTTAAAAAGTAATGTGGGAGACTGAGAAGAATTCTTTTTAAAAAAGAAAAAAAAACCTAGTAGCAAAAGCTATTGTTGAAAATTAAAGATTTCTTAAAAAAAGCTAAAGACTTCTACTAAGAAAGTACACCACAGAAAAAGTTAAGAGACAAATGACAAAGAAGATATTTGTATCTAAAACTAACAAAGAAAAGCCTGTAAACCAACAGTGAATGATGGTACTCCAACAGGAAAATGTGCAAAAAAAGAAACACCCCCTCAAAAAAACACATAAGAGATTTTAATTTTCTTTTCATTTGTACCAATGAATTAGCAAAAACTAGGCCACTTAATAGTGCCAAATTTAGGTTTGTGGAGATACAAGAATGATCATGCACTGATGATGAGAGTATAGATTATATACCAATCTGGAAAAACCTGGCATGTTAGGTCACATTAAGTTTGGCCACATGAGTATACAGTAATTAGCAATCCCATTCCTGGATATATATACCAGAAAGACTCTCACATGAACATAAAGAAAACAAGTAGTTCATAATATTAACAGTACACCATGAGGATACTTCAAAAGGTTTGCAGAAAACACAAATAAAGATAAATTTATTTTGATATAAAAATTATGAAATCCATACAGTTTTTTCATAATATGCATTCTACACAACCTTTTTTTTTTTTTTTTTTTTAAGATGTATTTATTTGAGACAGACAGAGACAAAGACAGAGAAAGATCTTCCATCCGCTGGTTCACTTTTACTCCCCATATAGATACAACAGCCAGGGCTGGGCCAGGCCAAAGCCAGAAAATTCTTCCGAGTCTCATGGATGGATGCAGGGGCCTAAGCACTTGGGCCATCTTCTGCTACCCCAGGCTCATTAGCAGAGAGCTGGGTCAGAAGTGAAGCAGCCAGGACTTGAACTGGTGTCCATATGGAATGTCAGTATTGGATGTGGTAGTTTAACCCACTGCGCCATAATGCTTGCCCCTCCAATAACTTTTTACAAACCCTTTATACACATGGATTTTTAAATCTTTAGCTCCCAAACAAACACATTCTAATTATACTTTCCACAAACTTTTTGAAGCAACCTTGTAAATAGTGTATATGGGATATATTATATATATACTTACTATATATTATATACATGTAGAATTAATATCTATATTACTATAAACAGTATTATTTATATAGATATGTTCCATACAATTTTTTTAAAGATTTATTTATTTGTTTGAAAGGCAGAGAGAGATAGAGGTCTTCCATCTGCTGGTTTACTCCCCAAATGGCAACAATAGCCAGAGCTATGTCGATCCAAAGCCAGGAGCCAGGAGCTTCTTCCAGGTCTTACGTTGGTGCAGGGGCCCAAGGACTTGGGCCATCTTCTATTGCTTTCCAGGCCATAGCAGAGAGCTGGATCGGAAGCGGAGCAGCTGGGACTCAAATCGGCACCCATATGGGATGCTGGCATTGTGAGTGGCAGCTTTACCAGCTACGCCAGAGCGCAGGGTGAGTGATTACCCACACAATATAACAGTGCTTCCATAAGACTGTATAGCCAGGTTCTGCACGGTGGTGCAGTAGGTTAAAGCCCTGGCCTGAAGCGTCAGCATCCCATATCGACACTGGATGAAGTCCCAGACGCTCCGTTTCCAATTCAGTTCCCTGCAGATGTGCCTGGGAAAGCAGTGGAGAACAGCCCAAATCCTTGGGCCCCTGTACCACGTGGGAGACCTGGAAGAAACTCCTGGCTCCTGATTTCGGATCGGATCAGCTCAGCTCCGACTGTTGCAGCCATTTGGGAAGTGAACCACTGGATGGAAGACCTCTCTCTGTCTCTACCTCTCAGAACTCCGTCTTTCAAATAAATAAAATAAATCTTAAAAAAAAAAAAAAAAGATTGTATAGCCTAGTGATACCATATCTGCCTTCATTTGTGTCAATACACTCTGTCATGTTCCTATAAGCAAACTGCCTAATGACACAGTTCTCAGAACCAGTCCCATCATTAAGCAACACATGACTAGGAGTAAGGGCTTGGAGTCAATACAGTTGTCTGTCACTAGGTGAATTAAGTAAAATGTGGTGTCCATACATCATAGAATGCCATGAAGGAACTGCAATCAATAGACTAGATGATCACACATCTACATAACACACAGATATATCTTTAAAAAAAAAATAGAAGGCAAGCATTTGGTCCTACAACTGAGACATCACTTATGACATCTGTACCCCATACTGAAAAATGCCTGGGTTCAAGTCCCAGCTCTGCTTCTGGTTCTGCTAATGTGCAGCCTGGGAGGCAGCAGATGACGGCTTAAGTACTTGGTTCCCTGCCACCCACGTGGGAGACCTAGACTGAGTTACAAGTTCCTGCCTTCAACCTGTCCCAGTTCTGGTTGTTGTGGGCATTTACTGAGTAAACCAGTAGATGGAAGATCTCTCTGTCTCTCTGCTTTTCAAATAAAAATAAAATGAAATGAAAACAGTGAAAAAAGTAAGACAAGGCCGGTGCCACAGTTCAGTAGGCTAATCTTCTGCCTGTGGCGCCGGCACCCCAGGTTCTAGTCCCAGTTGGGGCGCCGGATTCTGTCCTGGTTGCTCCTCTTCCAGTCCAGCTCTCTGCTGTGGCCCGGGAAGGCAGTGGAGGATGGCCCAAGTGCTTGGGCCCTGCACTCCCATGGGAGACCAGGAGGAAGCACCTGTCTCCTGGCTTCGGATCGGGGCACTGCGCCAGCTGTAGCGGCCATTTGGGGGGTGAACCAACGGAAGGAAGACCTTCCTCTCTGTCTCTCTCTCTCACTGTCTAACTCCATTTGTTAAAAAAAGAAAAAGAAAAAGAAAAAAAAAGAAAAAAGTAAGACATAAAGTTATGGCTATGGCTTCATTATCAGTTATAAAAATGAAAATACTGTACCAAACAACACTACATGGTTTACAAGGACAAAACATGCATACCAAACACATTAGAATTGTTGTTTAAGGAGGGTGGAGGGAAGTGACATAAGGAACATAAATACAATAAATTAATAAAAATTAGAGAAGGTACTCTGTATAACCTGGTGTAACAATGTGCCTTAAGTGAAGTTGAGTTTTCTCATTAAGATATCATTGGAAAAGGTCAGTGTCAGAAAGGGTCAGAGATTACCCAGTTTATAGATTTTAAGGATCCACACATTGGTCTCATTTCATAGAGGACCAGATACTTAATTAATGTAAATAATGACTTTCCAAAGTTGAGGAATTAGAGGGGTGGGCATTGGACAGTGGGTTATGCTGTTGCCTATGATGCTGGCATCCCATGTGAGTTCTGGTTCAAATCCTGGCTACTCTGCGTCTGATCCAGCTTTCTGTCAATGTACCTGGAAAGGAAGCAGAAGATGGCCCTACTGCTTGGGTCCCTGCTACTCATGTGAGAGTATAGGATGGAGTTCCTAGCTCCTGGTTTCAGTCTGACCCAGCTCTAACTGTTGTGGCCATTTAGGAAGTGAACCAGTGGGTAAAAAGCTCTCTGTCTCTCCCATTCTCTGTCACTTTGCCTTTCAAATAAATAACTATTTAAAGTGCTAGAAGAAACTAGTCATAAGCTCAGAATTTTTTTTTTTTTTTTTAAAGAGTTTATGTGGGGGTGGTGCCATGGCTTAGCAAGTAAAGCCATCGCCTGCCTGCAGTGCCAGCATTCCATCAGGGCACTGGTTCAAGTCCTAACTGCTCCACTTCCGATCCAGCTCCCTAATGGCCTGGGAAAGCAGAGGATGGTCCAAATCCCTGGCCCCTAAACCCACACCGGAGACCTCTAAGAAGCTCCTGGCTCCTGGTTCCTGACTGGCCCACCTCCGGCCATACCAGCCATTCGGGGAGTGAACCTGCATATGGAAGATCTTACACTATCTCTATCTCTATCTGTTAACTCTGCCTTTCAAATAAATAAATAAATCTCAAAAAAAAAAGAAAAAAAAAAAGAGTATAGTTAACCAATGACCTACAAAAAGACATCTGGGGCTGCCACTGTGGTACAATGGGTAAAGCCGCCGTCTGCAGCGCCGGCATCCCATGTGGGCTCCAGTTTGTGTCCCGGCTGCTCCATTTCCGATCTAGCTCTCTGCTATGGCCTGGGATAGCAACAGAGGATGGCCCAAATCCTTGGGCCCCTGCACCCACGTGGGAGACCTGGAAGAAGCTCCAGGCTCCTAGCTTCAGATAGGCGCAGCTCCAGCCATTGCAGCTAACTGGGGAGTGAACCAGCGAATGGAAGACCTCTCTCTCTTCTTCTCTGTCTGTGTAATTCCGACGTTTGAATAAATAAATCTTAAAAAAAAAAAAAGAAGAAGAAGAAATCCAAGTGGAGTGGCAGAGGCTAAAAATCAATCCACTCAGCCGGCGCCGCGGCTCACTAGGCTAATCCTCCGCCTAGCGGCGCCGGCACACTGGGTTCTAGTCCCGGTTGGGGCGCCGGATTCTGTCCCGGTTGCCCCTCTTCCAGTCCAGCTCTCTGCTGTGGCCCAAGAGTGCAGTGGAGGATGGCCCAAGTGCTTGGGCCCTGCACCCCATGGGAGACCAGGAAAAGCACCTGGCTCCTGGCTCCTGCCATCGGATCAGCGCGGTGCGCTGGCCGCAGCGCGCCGGCCGCGGCGGCCATTGGAGGGTGAACCAACGGCAAAGGAAGACCTTTCTCTCTGTCTCTCTCACTGTCCACTCTGCCTGTTTAAAAAAACAAAAAAATCAATCCACTCACTCACACTGTTCTGTTTCCACGCTTCCATGAAGTACTCACCATGCTCTTCAAGATATGCCTGGAGCCTGTTAATAAGATCTTGTTTTATTCCTTTGGTCTCCAAACCACGAGCAAGACATTCTTGCTTTAGTTCAGCAAGCTGAAAACATAAAATAAAACTTTTCCTTAGCCAACAGAATGAATCTCAATAAAAGAGGTAATTTTCACAAAATAAAATGAAAATAAAGTCCAATCCCAAACTACTGCCCTTAATCCTACTAAGCCTCTAGGTCCACAAATATGATCCACTTTCTTCTAACAAGATTTAATATGCAAGAGGAGTAACAGCTGCTAAGAATAAACATCACTCTTCAGTAAAATTCCAATCTATTTGTGCATCTAGTAGCACAAATATTTAGCTATTTCTGAATAATTCTGAGAGGGAAAAATTATTTTTCCTAATGATTACTGTGCCAGCATATGAAAGAATGAATTTTTAACCAGAAAAAGCAATAATGTAAAATCAGAGTCTCCTTACTACCTATGATCTAAGACCTTTTATTACATTCAACCATATAAATGCATATATATAGATAGATATAGATCTGACCACCTAGAATTAAGCTTAATGTCAGCTATTTTAATTCAACAATGGATTAAAGGACATACATTTAAATGAAAATATCAAATGGCATCCTGCAAAGTTGTTTCAAAGATTTTTAAATCAGTAACTTGACTAAAGATATACCAGATATGCTTAATTTCACAGACAATAGGAGGAAGATTTAATGGATTACTGACAGAATGAAGCAAAAACAAAAACAAAAACACCTCTGCAGGGAAACAATGAGCCAAAATGAAGATTCAATTTAGAAGAAACAAAGGAATAAATGTTGAAATTTCTACACTTAAGATTAAAAACTTCAATTATATAAAAATTGGATGAGGGAGATCTGGCTCAATAGTAACTCAAAGGATAAAGACCTCAAGATTTTAAGCAAAAAGGGCTAATAGTAAGATCTGCTACCTAAGTAAATCTGGATCACAGATAATTGAAATATAGTATCCATAACAAATATAATGGCCTTTCTGGGCTCTATATTCTTATTTTGTGAAGCATAATCACAGGTTAATCCAAGGAAAACAAGCAAGAAAAGGGAGGTTCAAAAGTCCTATAAACAGATGATCACATAAATAGATGTTTGGTCTGAAAGATAACTTCCCTGATTTTGAAGATTCTAAGACTAACCAGTGGAAGTCAGAAAGCAGATTCCCACATGAGAACTTCAGGAGGCAGGTTTTGGCCTCACAATTAAGCTGCCTGTGTTCTCTATCAGAATATCTGGGTTCAATATCTCAATCCAAGTCCAATTCCAGCTTTCTGCCAATGCAGGCCCTGGAAGACAGCAGGAAATAGCTTAAGTAGTTGGGTTCCTGCCATCCATGTAGGAACCTGGACTGAGTTCCTGGATCCAGGCTCTGGCCCAAGTCATTGCAGTCATTGGGGTGAAGGGGACAGGGAATAAGAAGATAGAAGCTCTGTATACCTCAAATAAAAAAGATACATAAAAAAAAGGGACTTCACAACTTGTATGCCCTGTATCTCTAGAAGTCTTCTGGGGCCAGCACTATGACACAGCAGGTTAAGCCGCCGCCTGTGACTCCTGCATCCCATATGAGCACTGGCTCCTGTCTCCAGCTGCAAGCTCCCTGCTAAAGGAGCCTGGGAAATCAGCAAAGGACGGCCCAAGTACTTGGGTCACTGCACCAACATGGGAGACCCAGATGGAGTTCCAGATTCCTGGCTTCGGCCTGGCCAAGCCCTAGACATTTGGGGAATGAACCAGCAGATAAAAATCTCTCTTTCTTTCTATCTGTACCTTTCAAACACACAATAAATATATCTTTAAAAACAAAAAGGAGGGGCCGGCCTTGTGGCACAGCAGGTTAAAGCCCTGGCCTGAAGCACCGGCATCCCATATGCGCACCGGTTCTAGTCCCGGCTGCTCCTCTTCCGATCCAGCTCTCTGCTATGACCTGGGATAGCAGCAGAAGATGGCCCAAGTCCTTGGGCCCCTGTATCTGCATGGGAGACCCAAAGGAAGCTCCTGGCCCCTGGTTTTGGATTGGCGCAGCTCCAGCCTATTGCAGCCATCTGGGGAGTGAACCAGCAGATAGAAGACCTCTCTCTCTGTCTGTATCTCTCTCTGAAATTGTCTTTCAAATAAATAAAATAAATCTTAAAAAAAAAAAAAAAGGAAAAGTCTTCTGCCAGGGGAGCCTTTGGAAATGAAGAGCTGGAGTTCTGTTTTAATATCACAACAAACAGAGGTAGAGAATTTAGTGAATGCAATGCAGAGAACTGTCCTACCCAAGCCAACAGCATTTTCTACTGAGAAACATGGTAGATAATCACCCACTAAAAAATATTTTTAAGGCTTCTGCCTATAAAAAATGATTGCAGGAGTAGATAAGATGCCTGCATCCCACATTCAAGTGCCTGAGTCTGATTCTTGGTTCCAACTCTTGATTTCAGCTTCTTGCCACTGCAGACCCTGGGGGCAGTGTTGATGGCTCAAGTTATTGTGTTCTAGAGACTTGGGTTGAGTTCCCAGTTCATGTCTCCAGCCTTGGCCCAGCCCTGGCACTTGTAGACACTGGGGAATGAACCAGTGATGGGAGTTTTTTCTCTAAAAAAAAAAAAAAAAAAAGAAAAAAAAAAAAAAAGGGGCTAATCAACTACAGTACAGAAACTAAGAGTACAGCCTCTGAACTTGAGACTATCTGGGTTCAAATTCCAACTTTATCACTTGCAGCTATGTAACCTAAAGGGACTAACAACTTCTCTGTGCCTGTTTCTTGACCTGTAAAATAGAAGTAACAGTAGCTAAACATAGGGTTGTTAGAAAGATTTAAACCAGTAAAAGTGTAAAACATTTAGAGTATCAGCTGGCAACTACTAAGAACAAATTTTAGACAGAAACTGGATGAAGGATTAGACAAGATTAGACAAAATCACTGGTTCTCAGATTTCTGAATTTCACAGATCAATGTATTCTTTCTAACGACTTATTTGAAATGCAGACAGAAGGAGTGCTGGTTCACTCCCCAAATGGCCCCAAAAGCCAGAGTTGAGCCAAGATGAAGCCAGGAGCCAGGAACTCAATGTAGGTCTCTCAAGTGGGTGGCTGAGGCCTAAGCATGTGGGCCATCTTCCCCTGCCTTCCTAGGTGCATTAGAAGGAAGCTGGATTGAAAGCAGACTAACAGCACTCCAATATGGGATGCTGATTGGAGTTGCAAGTAGTGGCTTAACTGTACCACAATACCAACTCTTCAATGTATTTTTTTTTTTTTTTAAAGATTTACTTATTTATTTGAAAGGCAGAATTACAGAGAGGGAGAGGTAGAGACGCCTTCAATTCACTGGATCACGCCCCAGATAACTGCAATGGCCAGGACTGGGCCAGACCAAAGCCAGGAGCCAGAGCTTCTTCTGGGTATCCCATGTGGGTGCAGGGGCCCAAGCATTCAGGTCATCTTCCACTACTCTCCCAAGCCCATTAGCAGGGAGCTAGATCTGCACCTGAGCCCATAAGGCAGCTCAACCCACTACACTACAGCGCTGGCCCCACCTCAATGCATTTTTTTTAAGCTTTTATTTATTTATTTGAGAGAGAGTTACAGAGAGACAGAGAGACAGACAGACAGAAAGGTCTTCCATCCACTGGCTTACTCCCCAAATGGCCACAAGAGCAGGAGCTGGGCCCATCAAGAGCCAGGAGCTTCTTCCAGGTCTCCCACATGGCTGCAGGGGTCCAAGCACTTGGGCCATCCTCCATTGCTTTCTCATGCCATAGCAAGAGTGGGATCAGAAGAGCAGCTGGGACACTAACTAGAGCCCATACTGGATGTCAGCACTGCAGGCAGAGGCTTAGCTTATTATGCCACAGTGCTGGCCTCAGAAAGAATGATAGGGTTGCTTTTTTATAATATTCCAACTATGACACAATCACTATTTTTCTGAAATTAAAAAAAAAACTAGAAAAATGAGCAAATATTTCTGTGTAGGAGTGATGTCACAGTACTACAGAAGTTTCTAAAAGCTTACTCTGTACTTAACACTAAACAGTAACAGCTAATTCATGGGCCAGTACTGGTCTCAGAGCATACCTGAAATAACAATAATTTACAATCCAGAGTTTATGTCATGTTTAAAAAAACTTTTTTTGCTTATTTAAAAGGCAGATAGAGAGAGACAGATCTTCCATCTGCTGATTCAAATTTCAGGGACCATAATAGCCTTGACTGGGCCAGACAGCCAAGTATTTGAGCTCTCACCTGCTGCCTCCCAGGGTGTGCATTAGCACGAGCTTAGAACTAGAGATGGAGCACAGACTAGATCAGAACTAGAGATGGAGCAGGGACTAGATCCCAGGCAATCTGATATGGGATGCCAGCATCCTAAGCATTGTCTTAAAGCTGTACCAAATACCTGTCCTTTTAAGTGATTTTCAATGTCCACTTCTCAATAGTATTTTTCTTTTCTCAGCTTCCAAAGTCTTTCAATTTTAATTACACTAGAAAATTTTGTTTGTTTGTTATATTAAACTATCACGTTCACTACAGACTAATTAGGAGTCTGAAAAGTACAGAGGAAAGTAAGTCATATGTAATTGCAGCACCTAGAGATCACCTAACATTTTAAAAACATCATTCACAATGTATGTGAAGGCAGAGGTTGTTGGCTGATCTTTATTTCCTCTAACTGCTATTCTTTCTAAAAAGCCCATCATTTTTTCCTGGAAAAAGTAATATTTTTGGTAAAGAATCAGCAATTCAGAGTTCATCTTTCTAACAGAGCTGTCACTCTCTTCTCCTCCCTTCTAGGAATCTATCAGGTACCAGAGAAATTAAGTCTGTGATAGTTCTTGCACAGGACACTTATCTAGTATGGTCTGATCTAGAATTAGAGCTGACATCTAGAGCTGAACTGGTTCCCACTGCAGACCCTGTTATTGCCTCGTACCATTGGAGTCAGTCTCCAGTGTAGCAACCATTTGAGAAGTGAACCAGAGGATGGAAGACCTCTCTCTCTCTCTCCCTATCCATCTCCTCTGCCTCTGCCTCTCTGTAACTCTGCCTTTCAAATAAATACATAAATCGTAAAAAAAAAAAAAAAAAAAAAGTTCACAGAGGGGCAGGTGCTATGGTGTGGGTTAAGCCACCACTTACTGGAGTGTCTGTTCAAATCTTTGCTACTGTGCTCAGATCCAGCTTCCTGCTAATGCACCTAGGAAGGCAGCAGAGGATGGACTAAGTACTTGGATCCCTACCACCCATGTCGGAGACCCAAATGGCGTTCCAGGCTCCTAGCTTTAGCCTAGCCCAACCCTAGTTGTTATAAGCATTTGGGGAATGAACCAGAGATGGAACATCTCTTTCTCTCTCTGTCTCTCTCTCTCAAATAAATGAATCTTTTAAGTCTGTGGGAAAATGGAATTAAAAGTTTGAGAAGCAGGCATTCATCTTAATGGTTAAGACGTCCACCAGAGTGCCTGAGTCTGAGTGCTAGCTCTGGCTCCTGACTACAGTTTTCTGACAGTGCAGACTCTGGGAGGCAGGACCGTGGGAGGCAAGAATGACGGCTTAATTAGGTTCTGCCAGCCATGTGGGAGACCAAGATTGTGTTCCCAGCTGCTGGCTCAGCTTCAACAGCTGCAGACATTCAGGGAGTAAACCAGCAAATGAGAGTTCTGGTTCTCTGTCTCTCAAAAATAAGTTTCTTTTGCTGCAAACAAACCTTTGAACCCATGCAGTCTTATAACAGGCATTTTCCACAAACTTTCTGAAGTACTCTTGCATGTGCCAGTATTTTGAAAGTATTTTAAGTAAACTTTTTATTATTTATTTGTAAAGATTTATTAGAAAAACAGAGTGTGGGGAAAGGGTGGGGGGAGAGGGAGTGAGGGGGAGAGAGAAATGGGGATGGGCCAGGCTTAAGCCCGGAGCTCCATCCAGGTCTCCATGTAGGTGGCAGGGGCCCAAACCTTCCACAGCTTTCCCTGGTGCATTAGCAGGGAGCACTACTAAGTGGAGCAGCCAGGACATGAACTGACACTACATGAGATGCTGGCATCACAATGCAGGCCCCTCATTTAATCTTTACAACAAACCTATATGGCTAATATTATACCATTTAAAAAGTAAGAAAATGAGGTCTGAAGACTCGATAACTTGCTTAAATTCCTAAGTTTGTGTAAACAGTGCGGCTAATATGACAGCTCAGGTTTCTCTGATTCTAGCCTAATCTAACTATCTAACTAATCTAACTATCAAGATGTTAATACTTTTCTGTGGCGTCGCAGGTAAAGCCACCACCTGCAGTGCCGGCATCCCACATGGGGACTGGTTCAAGTCCCAGCTGCTCCACTCACTTCCAATCCAGCTCTCTGCTATGGCCTGGGAAAGCAGTAGAACATGGCCCAAATCCTTAGGCCCATGCACCCACATGGGAGACCTGGAAGAAGCTCCAGGCTTCGGATCTGCACAACTCCTGCCATTGCAGCCAACTGGGGAGTGAACTAGCAGATGGAGGACCCCTACCCGCTCTCCATGGGCACAACTCCTTACGTTGCAGCCAACTGGGGAGTGAAATAGCGGATGAAGACCTCTCTCTCTCTGCATAACTCTTCCAAATAAATAAATAAATCTTAATAAAAAAAAATACTTTTCTTTCTTTCCTCAGCTTCCTTCCACCCAACCCAGTAATATTCCCTCTATGATTCCTTATTGGCCATCTTTTCAATCCATTTCTATCACAAACTTATTCATAAAAGAATAAATCCTGCCAGCTCTAGCCCCAAAATATAACCTTCTCAACACTGCAAATACTACTACCCTGGCATTTCTCTCATAGAGATTACTGTATTAACAAAACTTTTTTTAAAGCTTTATTTATTTATTTAAAAGGCTGAGCCAGAGAGAAAGGAAAGACAAAGGCGGGTGGGGGGGGGGATGTTGATATCTTCCATCCACTAGTTCACTCCCCAAAAAGCCACAATGGCCTGGGCAGGGCCAGCCGAAGTCAGGAGCCCAGAGATTCCTCTGGGTCATACATGTGGGTGCAGGAGCCCAAACACTTGGGCCATCCTCCACTGCTTTCCCAAGCACATTAGCAGGGAGCTATTACCAAAACTCTTCAGCCCTTGCCCCATTAGTTCACTTTCAACAAAGCAGTCAGAGTAACCTTTTGGAAACTTAGAACAAATCACTCTTCTATTCAAAAACCATCCACTGATTTCCTATTTCATTGAAGTGATAAAGCCAGCTTCCCTGTCTTCTCTCCACTGACATTAGCTTTCATGATACAGCACTTCATGCCTGGAAAATATATGCCTGCTCCAAGTTCACGTTCACTTCCTCCTTGGTCAGGAGCACCCCACAGCTACTGAGCTATCTGCAGTGGTGCTCAAAAGACCAGAAGCACTGACAGGTAAGTACCTCAGGAGGATGGCAGTCCCAAGTCCCAGCTTCCAAACCAGTGTCATTTCAAGGGACATTAACACAGCAGCCAAATTCATTGGGACTGAGGGTGCCACGGTTCACATGGCTGGCTCTGAAGCTGGGATTGGAAGCCTCATCCTTGGTTATGCCAGGAACTCCTCTCTGAAGCAGCAGCTCTTCTCCTATGCCACTCTGGACTTTGGACTCTCGGAGCCCATGGGGCTGCTTCACCTGATGGTGGCCTTTCTCATCCTTCTCACCATGTAAAGGAGTTGTCTCCATCTCCCAAAGTTCTTTGTCCAGTGTCTCATCTGCCCTGTATGTTCCTCTACTTTACTCTCAGGCAGCCTGCGGAAAAGCGTTTGGCTCAGGGTTTGACAGAGAGAAGACAAATAAATACTGTATTAATAAGAAAAAAATAAAGATATAAAAGCCAGAGTCCTATGTGTTACTCACAAGACCCTGAAAAATCTGCCCTCCTCTCTCCCACCATTACCTCTTATTACCATTGCTCACTGATATGCCAAACTGGTCTTATACTATTCCTCTAACACACTGCACATGGTTTAACTCCTTTACCTCTAATTCTTTGCTTAAACATTCCTTTCTCAATGAGACCATACCTAGTCATTCTATTTTTTTAAAGATTTATCTGAGGGGCAGAGTTGCTGACAGAGAGGGAGAGATAGAGAAGTCTTCCATCTGCTGTTTCACTCCCCAAATGGCCACAACAGCTGGAGCTGGGCCAATGCAAAGCCAGGAGCCAGGAGCTTCTACTGGGTCTCCCACATGGGTGCAGGGGCCCAAGCACTTGGGCCACTTTCCATCGTTTCCCAGGCCATCAGCAGGGAGTTGGAATGAAGTGGAGCAGCTGGGACTCAAACTAGCACCCATATGGGATGCCAGTGCCAGAAGTGGAGGCTTAACCTACTATGCCACAGAGCCAGCCCCTAGTCAGTTTACTTTAAACTACGATACTCTTGTCATGGTAATCCCTTATCCTCCTTCTCTACAGACACTATCACCATTTGACATCCTATAAATTTTACTTATTTACTGTGACTTCCCTCCCTAAAGTTTAAGTTCTATGAGAGTAAGAATTCTGTGTTTTGCTCATTGCTGTATCCCCAGCATTAAGGTAGCTGGTACATGGCCCAAACAGAGCTTATCACCTTCTTTCCCGCACAAATTCACTGTTTCTCTTCCTCCTAACCTGAAAGTATCATTACCCAAACTTTGGAATCATTTCTCCCACATCTAGCTGATCTATACTTAGAATTTTATAACCCAAATTGCCTTCAAATTTATTCCCATTCTGATAGCCACTGCTCTATTTCAGATCTTAACAGTTTATTCACTTGACAAATAGTTACTGAGTACCTACTGTGTGTTAGCATTATCTTAGACACAGAAAAATCATGGGCTAAACAGAAAGCAACCCTGCCCACATGGAACTTAGAATCTAGTAGGGACCAAGACAATCAAAGGCCATATATACAGTGTTTAACTGGTTAAAAAAAAGGAGTGCAGAGTCCTACAAAGATATACAAAACATGGCCTGACCATGTGTGTAGATCAGGAGAACAAGAAAGGCTGCCTTGTGTAAACATCTGACTTCTATCTGAAGGATGACCAGGAGTTAGGTAACTGGACAAAGATGTAGAGGAGGGAGGGTGGCAAGAGTACAGCAGCCCTAAGAAAACTCCAAGTGAAGTATATGTAAAGGACTTGGGTTCCAAGAAAGAGGAGAGGTAGGTAAGATTAAGAATACAAATTTTGCAGGGCCACCATTGTGGTGTAATAAGTTACTCCTCCACCTGCAAGGCTGGCATCCAGTATGGGTGCCAGTTTGTGTCCTGGTTGCTCCACTTTTGACCCACCTCCATGTTAATTGGCTGGGAAAGCAGTGAAAGATGGCCCAATATGGGATCCTGGTACCACAGGTGGAGGCTTAGCTCACTATATCACAGTGCTGGCCCAAAATAAATTAAAAAAATATATATATATATATAAATTTTGGAGACAGACTTCCTGGATTTGATAAACCACTTATTAGCTGTGAAACCTAGATCAAATTCCTCACTACTCTCTCCAAGTTTCATTTTTTTCTTTCAAAATGGGGTAATACAGGTATTTACCTTTTAGAGTTGTTGTAAGAATTAAATCAGTTAATGTATACAAACAGCTTCAAACAGTGCTTGTCATATAATAAATGTTTTGTAACTGTTAGCAGTGAATGAACACAGCCTTTCTGAGGAAACAATATAAGGCTACTACAGTTGGGAATGTGAAAAAACAAACTGGAGAGATTGTCAGTGATATAATTTTAAAGGTTTGAAGCAGGGGGCTGCCACCTACGGCGCCAGCATCCCATATGTATGCCATTTGGAGTCCGGGATGCTCCACTTCTGATCCAGCTTTCTGCTAATAGCCTGGGAAAAGCAGCAGAAGATGTCCCAAGTCCAAGTCCCAAGTCCAAGTCCCAAGTCTCCCTATGGGAGACCCAGAAGCTCCTGACTCCTGGCTTTGGATCAGCCTAGCTCCAGCCATTTCGGTCATTTGGTGAATGAATCAGCAGACAGAAGATCTCACTGTCTCTTTCTCTCTGTGACGCTGCCCTTCAAATGAATAAATAAATCTTTTAAAAAATAAATAAAGGTTTGACGAAGGGAAAATGACTACTATAATAAATATCTAATTGGCAAAATCCCTATCCCACTAGATCCCATTTTCCATACTGCCAAAAGAAACTGATCACATCAGAAGCTTCTTAAACTTCCAAAGGCCTACTATGACTGACAAGACCCAGAACTCGTTACACAACTTAAGGCCTTTTTCAACACCACTCTGATTTACCTCTATAGTCACACAGTTCACTTACTTTCCTTTCAAACTTTCTTTGACCACCAAAACATATATGCACTTTATGTTTCAATAATACAAAGATAACACTGTTCTCAACACTCTGACACCACTACACCCTTCTTGTTCTCTACTCTGAAATAGTTCCTTTTCTCATGTTTGACTGGAAATCTAGTACTATTAGAATTCAAGTAAAGCTGCCACCTGTAGTGCCAGCATCCCATATGGGCGCTGGTTTGTGTCCCGGCTGCTCCACTTCTGATCCAGCTCCCTGCTATGGCTGGGAAAGCAGTGGAGGACAGCTCATATCCTTGGGCTCCTGCACCCACGGGGGAGATCTGGAAGAAGCTCCTGGCTCCTGGCTTCAGATTGGTGCAGCTCTGGCCGTTGCAGCCAACTGGGTAGTGAACCAGTGGATGAAGACCTCTCTCTCTCTCTGCCTCTCCTCCTCTCTCTTTGTAACTCTGATTTTCAAGTAAATAAATAAATCTTAAAAAGGAAAAAAAAAAAAAAAGAAAGAAATCAAGGCATTTGCATCCACACTTCAGTCTCTTTCCAATTGTATTAGAATGACTGCATTTCTACAAAATCTTTAAATATTTGTAGCTGACATGGACTTACCTATCAACTCAGATAGATAATAGTTTTCCTTCCTTTCAAAGCTTATTCCTTTCCTCTGAGGTCCCATACTAAAGCCCTAAATTCTCTTTACAAAAATGGGGGTGAAAAAAAAAACTTTAAAAGGCAATAATACCCCAAGTCAACCCAAAAGTCAGGATCACTCCACCAAGATCACTAGTGGAACCTAGAAGTCAGAATTAAAGGCATAGGTTCTTAACCAGAGGTCCATGGACTCCTCAGGGCTACAAGGTAGTTTTAGGAGGCCCCTCAAATTGCATGCAAAGTATGTACATGTCTTTTTCTGGGGAGAGGGTCCATACCTTTCATCAGAGTTTCAAAGATATCTGTGACCTCCAAAAGGTTAAGAAGTGCTCTAGAGAAAAAGCAAAGACAAGCAAATGTGATTAAAGAGTGAGTCCTATTTAGGCTGCCAGGAGTGCCTCAAGTTCTCTTAGACTGTGATACCTGAAATCAGTCAGAGGACATTATGTAAAAGTGACTTGTCTAATCAAATACAAATGTAATATAGACCTGACAAATACAGATATGATGGAAGGGAGTACTCCATACACCAACATAGAATTCATAAAGGCAAGTATTGGGAAAGCTGATGATTTACTCTAAGGATTTCAAAAATGAGACAAATAGGAAGAAAATATTAGATCTTACATTCATATTTTCTTTTTATCACACTCATTTAAAATTTTTTCTGTGTTTTATAACATACATAAAACAGTGCAGAAGCACCTAATTTATATTAAAAGTGTAGAAAATGTGGTTGCTCTTTCTTCACTTGTCATAAATATTAGAAGACCACTGATAAAATCTATACATTTCAGTTCCACCATTTTAACAGTATCTCCAAAATATCACAAAAACCTACTAGAGTACAGTTTAGAATCCAAGAGTAAGAAATACATCAGCTTTAACAGAAAGGCTAATTGGTGTCAACTAATAAGTGGCTAAGGAAACTATCTCTCCTTACTCTTAATCCCTTCACCTAAAGAAACAACAACAAAAAAAAACCTCATCAAGCCTTAAAGGATCAGTTTTCAGTTTCTGCTGAACCAGCCTTGTTGTCTAAGGTTCCCAGGATGATGTGACCAAAACAGCTAGTGGGAAAACTACTGGTGAACACGCAAGGAGACAACCAATAACGATAAGCTCTTAACTCACCCTAAAAGAAATTACTCTCTTCTTCCAGGAGCATAAGTTATGAGAAAGCTACCAAGATTCCCAACAGACACAACTTAAAATCTCGTGGCTTCAGAGTGTCACCCAGTGGTGACACCAAGAGATGCAGGGTCCATCTGCGATATGAAACAGCACAGAGGAAAATCGTTTTCTCACAATATTGCAGCTCTGAGGACAGAGGGTTGGCGTGAGGCGAACGCGGGGTGGGGGGTGGGGGGGCAGAACCGAGTGGAAAACCTCGAAACACTTTTAAATCTGAGGTGTCTTTACTTTTCCTCATTCTAGAGGCCTTCTTAACCTCAGGTTTTTACGGGGAAGTCTCTTCTCCAGGCCGCCCCCAGGCTTCAAATTTCGCCCAGGGGGAACAGACCACCGCCTAGAAAAAGGGGATGGGAGCATTTTCTGGATCGTGTTTAGTACATATTCCCACAGAAGTACACAAAAACGTCATGAGAACCTTAGCTCTGGACAACATGGGCAAGCATTCACCCTGGGAGGAAAAAGGGCTCCCGGGTCCGGCGTGGGGCGAAGAGGAGGGACCACTGACGTAACGCAGCTCTGGCGAGAAACGAGTAGAACAGGTAGAAGGCACTAGCGCGACCTGGTGGGAAAGGGTGGCTGACGATACAGTGATGGAGAAGTGGGCAGAAATAACAAGTGAAGACAACAGTAAAACCGTGAGAAATGGGAAATGGGGGAAGGCGTAATGGAAAAGGGAGGCACAAAAGAACTGCGGCGGGAACCGTAAAACACAGTGGAAAAGGCTTTTAGGTGAACGTATAGGAGAAAGCGCAAGCCACGCTGCTGAATTCAGCCCCCAGAAAAGTCCAGCTCAACCCTGCCCCTTCTCTACAGTACCTTCAGCTTATGGAGCTCCACTGTCTCCGCCGCCATCTTGGTGCCCCTCCACCCCGCTAGGCCCCCGCCCGCTGCCTCCGCCTCCAGGAGCTCCCGCCTAGGCGTAGAGAACCTTGGTCAGCCAATCGCTGACACGTTTACTCCCACAGCGTACTATCAGCCCTTCCCATTGGCCAATAGCCGCCGTCGCTCTCCCATCTCTCGACGGCTCTCCCCGGCTCCCAAAAGGCGGAGTAGCCAGGAGGGTGGGTTCTGCATCTTCCGAAGGACAGAAATGTGGACCAACTGCGCTTCCCCACAGCAGATCACCAGCCAACGGGTAGTGGCAGCGCCGATTCTGGTCCGCCAATAGAGGGAGCGCGGCTGCAGGGACAGCCGCTTCCTGGAGACTACAGGTGTAGGAGCGAGCGCCGCGCCCCTGGCCGGACGGGCTGGTGAAGCAGGCAGGTAGGGGACCCGAGACGCTGGTCAGTGGTACTGAGGAAAATCGGGGGGAGGTGAGGAAGGGGCGGCGAGTTGAATACTGAGAAGGGAACGTTATATAGAGCCCTGAAAGGAACCTACGAACGCGAGAGGGAGCCTGGGAGAAGCGTGGGCTGGGCTCCGGACTGGAGTTGAGGGAATTTCAGGGCCGGCCAGAGCTCCTTCCTAACCAGGCATCTTCAGCTTTAGAGCTCAGACGGTCAGAGCCACCTGGGGCTGCGTCTCTAGAGATTTTAAGCTCCGGTCCCTTCTTAGTCCAAGCCAAAAGCCGTGGGCAAATACTTGCGGCATCTACGCTCGACAGAAGGAAAGAGAATGCTGACTGCTTACATGCCAAAAATGGGCGCGACAGGGCGGACAGGCCCGACAGAAGAGGTGGGGAGGCAGAAGGTGGGCACCAGCGGCAGCTTGACTGCCCTTCTCGGTGGTTCTGATTGCACGACTCTCAGAACTCTGCACGCATGTGAATTCTTCACGATTCCTCATTAACTTCTTCAGCGAAGGAAAGGGAGCTACTGCCATTTGCTTCTCCTTGAAGTGCATGGCCCGAGCCTAGGCTTATTCCTTCATGTCAGGGCGAGGATCAGAGTAAAAACGACCATGTCTCTACAGTGTAGGAAGGGATATTCTTACCTTTTTCTTTCTTCTTTTTTTTTTTTTTTTTTTTAAGATTTACCTATTTACTTGAAAAGAGCGGGAGAGGGAGAGATCATACATCCACTGGTTCACTCCCCAGATGGCCACAATGGCTGAGACCTGGAGCCAAGAGCTCCATCCCGGTCCCCACCATGGGTGGCAGGGGCCCAACCACTTGGGCCACCTTCTGCTGCCTTCCCCAGGCCCACCAGGAGGGAGCTGGATCAGCACTGAGCAGCTGGGACACAGACCAGTGCCCGTATGCAATGACTGTATGCAGGTGACAGTTCAACCCGCTCCACAGGCCTGTCTTCTCTTAAAGTTTTTCCTGGGTCTTTGGTTTTTCCATTCTGCATGAGAAAGCCATTTCATTCCCCATAAAGTGCAGGGGATTTGGGCTCCTTCAGAAACAATGGGGGAAACACTCTGAAAGAGGGGTTGAGAGGAAACAGTTGGGACTCCTGCCTGACGCCCCCACTGCGGTAGGATGAATGTGGGGGTGGCGCACAGCGAAGTAAATCCGAATACTCGAGTGATGAATAGCCGGGGCATCTGGTTGGCCTACGTCATCTTGGTAGTACTGCTGCATGTGGTTCTACTCAGCATCCCCTTCTTCAGCATTCCTGTTGTCTGGACCCTGACCAACGTCATCCATAACTTGGTGAGCACTAAACCACGCCCTTGTACCCACCCCAGACCTTTCCCAACCAAAACCAAAATCACCAATTGTTTGGGGATGTCTTCCTCTTGGGCTGAAGGGCTACTTTCTGCCCCTCACACTGGCCGCTTCTCTCTTCCTAGGCAATGTATATTTTCCTACATACAGTGAAGGGGACACCCTTTGAAACGCCTGACCAAGGAAAGGCTCGGCTACTGACGCACTGGGAACAGATGGACTACGGCCTCCAATTTACTTCTTCTCGCAAGTTCCTCAGCATCTCTCCTATTGTACTGTGAGTCTATGGGAAGTAGGGGAGATGCTGGGTTAGAAAGAACTCCAACAGCCAGGTGAAGAGGCCCATAGGGGAAGCTTTAAAAAAGCAGACTACTCAGCACTCTGCTTGGGATACGCACATCCCATATCATCCAGTACTGGAATGCCTGGGTCATTGTCCCCACTCTGCTTCGGATCCAGCTTGCTCCTAATGTGCACTATGGGAGGCAGTAAATGATGCCTCAAATACCTGGATCCCTGCCACAAACATGAGACCCAGATGGCGTTCCAGGCTCCTGGCTTCAGCCTGGCCTAGGCAGACTATTGCTGACTTTTGAAGTATGAACCAGCAGATAGAAGATACTTCTCTCTCCCTCCCTCTCTTTCACTCTTTCAAATAAATAAAACTTTAAAAATATAAAAAAGAAGACTATGTAAGTCCCCTTGAAGATATTGTGGTATACTACTAGTTCTGAGCTTACGAAGAGCAATAAAAGCAGCATTCCTTGCTGCCTCCTTGGTAGTAGGGAAATGGAGAAGGGACTGAGAAAAGATCAAATGTAAACTAATACCAAGTGATCAAGAAACAGAAACTAGCATATACTCTCCTATTAAAGGTGCTGATTATCTCCTCAGCCCCCAAGTTGATAAACCTGGAATATTTTAGATATCCTAGGACTATATGCAATAAAATTAGTTATTTAAAATAGAACAGGAGGCAGGCGTTTGGCTTAGTAGTTTAGATGCCTACATCCCCCAGCTGGGTGCCTGGGTTGGCTACCCAGCTCTAGCTCCTGACTTCAGCTTCCTGCTAATGTACACCCTGGGAAGCAGCAATGATGATGGCTCAAGTCATGGGAAACCTGGATTGAGATTGTAGCTCCCAGCTTCCTCTCCAGCATAGTCCCAACTGCTGAGAGTGTTTGGGGAGTGAGCCAGTGAATGGGAGCTCTTTGTCTGTTTCTGTCTCTGCCTCCTAAATAAGTAATTTTAAAAATAATAAAAGACAAAGTCTTTGAGAAGGCATGAATATGGATAGGGAAAACCAATCTCACTCCTGTTTTCTCTCTCCCCAGCTACCTCCTGGCCAGCTTCTACACCAAGTATGATGCTGCTCACTTCTTCATCAACACAATCTCACTTCTTAGCGTTCTGCTTCCTAAGTTGCCCCAATTCCATGGAGTTCGTCTCTTTGGCATCAACAAATACTGAGGGGTGGGACTGGAGAGCTTCGCAGGTGTGGGGAAGGCCTTGGAACAAAGGGCTATAAGCATCCTTCCATTCTTCTCCATTCTGTTTTCTGTACCTTGAAAGCCTTTGAACTATACAATCTTTCCCAAACTCCTAGGAAGGGAAGAGATTGGAAAATGGGCTCCATGGTCCAGCCCTGCTAAAGGCATCTTTCTTTGAATTAGAAAAGGTGGATGAGGCTAAGGGCCAAATCACCCTTCTCTACAGCAGGAAGTCACGTTAGGACAGCTTTTCCGGTGATGATGTTTCTTCATGTCTTTCACCCCTGCTACCTTCCAGGCCTGTTTTGTTGTGTATTTTCCTTACAATAAAGGTAAATTTTTTCAGCTATGGCTGCAATTTGATCAGCAGAAAGGAAGGGAAATACCCTCTAAGGCTGGGGAGGAAAGATGAAATACTGACTGAATGTACAGAACTTTAAGTAAAATGTATCCCCTCTCCTTTGATCCAGTAGGAGGTGCCCTTCACTCTCAGCTTATTCGGTAGGGAAAGGATTCTCAAGTGAGAAAAGGGCTCCGGCTATATGGGCAAAGAAGAGAGGGAAGATACAGGTTGCCAGTTACATATTTATAGAAAGATACTCTCCTGGCTTTAAATAGATATGTACATACAAAATGAACAAACTTAAAAAAATACAAACCCTTGGATCACAAGGGGGCATCTGGGAGCCCCTTCTGTATTCCCCCTCACCCAAGGGCAGAGGGCATGAGTCTGCTTTTTAAAAATTAATTTTGGCCATCCTTGCAGTAAGACTGGAGGTGGATGACTTACCCACAAGGTGAAAGAGGAAAAACAACAGTTTCCTCTCTCGGAAGTCTGCACTTTTTAAAATTAGGGCTTTTAACTAGCGCATCAAGGTAAAGAAGGAGGCTGCCTCCTGAATGCATCAAGAAATAAGATAAACTCATAGTTTTGAAGGGAGGAGGGGGAGTATCATCTGCTCTAAAAGCAGATGTCAAGAAAAAGGCATATGGACCACAGGGAAAGAACCAGTTCCCACATCTCAAAGGGAATAATTGTCCAACCCTAGTCCAAACCCTAGGTTCTTCACTCTAACCACCCCCTGTTTCTTTGGTATTGTCAGAAGACAAGATTCAGTTCCTGGATGCTAGGGGAAGAGAGGGAGAGTGCTTCAGGGTCTTTCTACAAGTACTGAGTGAACAATTTAAGCTTAAAATTTTCCCTTTTTAAAATATTTAAAAATAAACCAATCAAACTCCATCCTGTGCTGTACACAGCCCTTTTGACTCCCTGACATTGATTTGAGGAAAAGGGGGGAGGGCAGGGTGGGGATCAACGTTGGAAGGGCCTCCTCACTTTCTTCCGCCGTTTTGGTTTGGCTTCCCCCTTGGGTACTGTGCTGTTGGGTTTTGAGGCTGCAGTGGTCCCAGGGCCAGGCTGAGGAGCTGCAAAGAAATTCCCATTCGACATTTGGCCTGGAGGTACTTGAAAGATCCTGTTCAAGAAATCCTGAAGGTCAGCAGGAGGGCTATCTGGAGTGGCTCTGAGAGGAAACACAAGAATAATAAGACAGGAGATTAGAGTGAAAAATACCCTGAGTCAGTACCCAAGCTTCCTAGAAAGTAAGGCATTTAGGTATTCCTGAACACCAGTCATCCGAAACCGTAATCAGAACTGGAAAAGCAGATAGATCACTACTGAGAGAAATAACACCTACCTCTGCCGCCCACTGGTGCCCGGAATCCGAGAACCAAACGAGATGTGATAGGGGACTCTGTGGGTATCTGGGGAGATTCCCACACGCTGGCATCCAGCCCACTCTGCAAACAGGAAAATAATTAGCTACAACATCACAGTTGTAGCACTCAGGAGATCATGAAGTATGAGCCCATATTTCTTAGAGACAGAGTGTACCTGTGATGTCATACACCTTTCCATCCATCAGTGCAAAGTAGGTGATCTTGAGACCCAACATGCTTGACTCTGCCCAAAAGTCTCCTTCCTCAGCCGGATGCAGCCGATTGCACTCAGCACAGTATCTGGCACTCTTAGCATCCCGATCCATTTCAAACCTCCTGTAACCCAACACAAGGATAAGTCCTTAATTTGTCAACTCTGCTGTGCCAATGCTCTCATCAGTACTGAAAAATATGGCTGACACAACTAAAATTATCTCCATGTAAAGTTGTTTTATATGCCTTTTTATACCCTGCCCTCAACCTTCTATCTTAAAGCTAATTTTTCTTTCTACCAATGCCGTACTTCAAAGGCTTAATCTCGTGATGGAATAGTAAAGGCAGAAGCCAGGGGTATTTTTGCTCCTCCTCTGTACCCCACAATTACTAGTGATATTCACAAGGAAGGTCTCTGTTATCTAGTCCCTGAGCTGTGGCTGTCCCATCCCTGTCCTATTTCATACCTATGCTTTCCTTGGCATCGACTGCACATCATAGTATTCATCGCTTCCTTAAGGTCATCTTGTAGCTTGGAGAGAAACTCATTCACTGACCGACTCAGCTCATTCTCTGCCATTCGTTTCCTAAAAAAGAAAGGCTTTGTTAAGTAGTTGAATATTGAGGGAAATGCAAAGAAAGATCTTTTGGCTTCTTGAAGCCCCTCACTAGCTAGAAAAGAACTTCAGTTCTCTTCACCTCAAAGAGCCTCCACCCACAAGTCTAAGGGCCTTGTCAATTGATTTTTCGGGGCCGGCGTTGTGGCGCAGCAGGTAAAGCCACCATCTCAGACGCTAGCATCCAGTATGGGCACTGGTTCAAGTCCTGGCTGTTCTACTTCCAATCCAGCTCCCTGCTAATGTGCCTGGGAAAGCAGTGGAAAATGGCACAAGTCCTTGGGCCCCTGCACCCATGTGGGAGACCAGCAAGAAGCTCCTGGCTCCTGGCTCATTGAGCCCATTTAGGAAGTGAACCAGTGGATGGAAGATCTTTTTCCCCTCTCTGTAACTGTACCTTTCAAATAAATAAAACCGTTTTTTTTTTTTAATTGAGGATTTTTCATTGACCTCACCTGACATTATTCCCATCTCCAACTTACATCTCATATTCCTTCCGCCTTTCAGGGTTGCTGACAATGTCCCAAGCTGACCGTAAAACCTTGAAGGCCTCCTCAGCCCGAGGATGATGATTTTTGTCAGGGTGAACCTATCAAAAAAGATTTCATCACAGAGCCATTCCAAACCCCTTCCTAACTTGGGTCTATTCTCATATCAAAGGTTTCTCTTTCATCACCCTTCGCAAGAGTCAATATAGCTTACTGATTAATTGTTCTAGCTCTGCTTGAACCTAAGTTCAAGCCCGGTTGTGTCATTTGTTAGCTACATGATCTTGAATATTTTACCCAGCACAGATTTTTGAAAGGATTAAGTAATAGAGACGAGGTACACAGCACAGAATCTGGCACTAGGATGATCCACTATCCCAGTTTGCCTGAGGCTGCTCCAGTATGGCATTGAAAAGTCTCATGTCTCAGGAAACCCCCATGATACCAGGTGAATAGGAATGACTGGTCACCCTACTTGGTCCACACATACTTGGTAGCTTTGGGATCCGCATGGAAGGAAGACCTACACTTCCGGGAATGGAAAGTTCCTACCTGTACTTGTGGGGGAAGAAAAGTCTGTCAAAGTCCCTGCAGGTGCCTAAAGGTCAACCAATGAGGATCAGACCCACCTCAACCTTTAACCCCCATGCCCTGAATCTATAAAAGGAGTTCTCCCAATCTCTGACGCGAACGCGACTTCCCCGCCTGCCCCCCCCCTTGCTCTGTTGGGACTGGGGAACCTCACAGGGGAGCGGAAGCCCAATAAAAGCCTGTGAATTAATTGATTCGTCTGCCTGGGAAGATTTGTTATGCGCCGGACACCTTGCAATACTAAGTCCTTGCATTTTCATTTTATTATTAGTCAAAGTAAGAATTCCAAAAGTGTTACATCCTTCAGATTATTCTTTAACTAGAAAATTCCCATATCCAAAACTTCCTACAGTCATCTGCCTTTCTGTCCCATGAGGCTTTTTATACACTTACCAACCTTTCATCTAACACAAATAGTATCCTCTCTTCCTACAGCTTCCTGTTGGTTCCCATCTCCACTCCCCAAAAACAGATAAAGCTAGTCTCCTCACTGATGCCAAAGAAGAATGCTGTCAAACTTCCCACGTTCTCAAGCTAACAACACCCTTTTAGATATGTTCACACTGAGGCCTAGTAAAGGTAGTAGGAACCACACATAAAAAGAAACCAACAGACACCAGGGCTCAAAGCATGAGAGAACTCTGGGATGTAAGGCAGATGTATGCATGATGGGAAACTTAACTACATTTGTACTGTAAGAAAAGTCAGTTAAAAATTATAATTGTCTGGGGCTGGTGCTGTGGTGTAGTGGGTTAACGCCCTGGCCTGAAGCACCGGCATTCCATGTGGGCGCCAGTTCTAGTCCCGGCTGCTCCTCTTCCAATCCAGCTCTCTGCATGGCCTGGGAAAGCAGTGGAAGCTGGCCCAAGTCCTTGGGCCCCTGAACCCGCGTGGGAAACCTGGAAGAGGCTCCTGGCTCTTGGCTTTGGATTGGCGCAGCTCCGGTCATTGCAGCCAATTCAGTAGTGAACCAGCAGATGGAAGACCTCTCTCTCCCTCTCCTCTCTCTGTGTAACTCTGACTTGCAAATAAATAAATATTTTTTAAAAAATTATAATTTTCCTAAGAACAATATCCTCAAGAGTGAGTTTCTGCTTAAAAAAAAAAAAGTGAAGGTGAGAAAAGAGCCCTACTATTTAGTAACCAGCTCACAGTGAGCAGTTGTCAACCCACTCCAAGAATAACCCAGGCTATCTCTTCACAGCATACATTTCCCACCAAACTGAATAACACTTTGCTATTGTTATAGGCCCGGTAGTTTATTGTATCTGTTATCATTAGTGGGAAACTTGGGTGCCCACTCCTCTTTGGCATCATACAACCCCTTGGATAACTGGCAAACTGTGATGTTTCAACAGTTCAGCTCCATACACTCAGTAAAAACAGGACTTCAGTGCAATTTACACACATTACTTACATTCATAATGTACCGAAGTAGCAATAACAATCATGTATCTCATAATAGCAGCCTAATATCTACTTCTAATAGCAATTTGCATGCTTACATTAAATCATTTCCCTCAAGCACCTACCACATCTCCTCTGCACATGCCCTTATCAATAAAAGCAACCAAATTTTCATGTAGGACAAGCACATGTGTACACCTCTCATATTTCCGCTTCATTTTCCTTCCCCTTCATATGCTGATTTGCTGGTCTTGAAATAGCCTTTTTTTTTTTAATTTATTTTTTTAATGTATTTGAAAGGCAAAGTGACAGGTGGGGAGTGGAGGCAGGGAGAGGCAGAGAAAAGAAATCTTCCATCCAAGGGTTCACTCCCCAAATGGTTGCTACAGCCGGGGAGCCAGGAGCCCAGAACTCCAGCTGGGTCTTTCACATGGGTGGCAGAGGCCCATGGCCCATCCTCTGCTGCCTTCCCAGGTTCATTAGCAGGGAGCTGGAAAAGAAGCAGAGCTCAAACCATGTTCCAATATGGGATGCCAGCATTGTCAAAATGCTGGCCCTAGCCTGTTTTCTTTTACCTGGCCCTAGAATAATTACATGCATTCCCTGAACCCTCCTGCACTTGTTCTATACTTACTCCTTAATTTGGGAGAGATGGATTTTCCCATGTTTAAAAAACCCTCTTGGAGTGGCATTTGTTCTAGAAGTTGAAGACAGCAGTAGGACACTCATGTCCCACATCAGAGAACATGGGTTTGACTCCCTGCCCCAGCTTCTGATTCCAGTTTCCTGCTAAGGCAGGCCCTGAGAAGCAGCAGTGATGGCTCAAATAGTTGAGTCCCTGACACCATGTGGGAAACCTGGATGGAGTTCCCAGCTCCCAGCTCTGGCCCCTCAGGCACTACAGGCATTTAGGGAGTGAACCATTGGACGGAAGCTCTGTGTCTCTGCCGCTAAAAAAAAAAAAAAAAGGAAGAAAAAAAAACCTTTCTTTTCTTCAGTTGAGAGCAAATGAGGTATTTCTGACTAGGCCTCTACCTTACTCTAGTTAGAGGAACTTTAGATATTCCAGGATGAATGAATGCAACACTGCCTGTTATACCAGATTAAATCTTCCCCCTTCCCACCCCATAACACACACCAAAAAAAAAAAAGAAAGAAAGAAAACCTGAAATAGAAGGTCAGATCCCACAGCACAGAGGGAAAAAGTTTGTGATGACTTTTTTCTAAGAATGTTACCCTTATTCTAAAAAAAAAAAAAAAAAAAAATACGGAATAAAGAAGAGCAAAAAGGCAGGGTACTCACCATCACTGCCAGCTGCCGATAGGCCTTCTTCAGTTCAACGTCTGATGCTGTGGCTTCAACCCCCAACACAAGGAAAGGGTTTAGCTCAGCCTCAGGAACCCCAGCCATGGTCAAGAGTCGAGCCACTTCCTCTTCAGGTTGACAGTTCCGCCCACCAGCTACAGGTGCATTCCCCTGTCTATTAGTCCTCTGCTTGACCCAAGGCAACTCCAGCCAACCCCGCTGAACTATTCTTACAAGCTGCTGCCATGGCCTGCTGTCTCTGAGCCAAGACAAGCAACGCTGGAAGGTCGGAGAGTCCAGCCAAGAGAAGAGCCAGGTGGCCTTATCCCTCCAGCCTAACTGGTCGCCCAATCCCACCAGAAATCGCCACCCCAACTGGAGACAGCCCAAAAAGAGGGCCAGAGCCAGAAGCAGCAAAGCACCCAGTAGCCTAAGAAAGCGGGTGAGCAGTCCTGCCCCGACGTACAAGGTGTGGTTTAGAGACTGGGTCATCACCTGGGCCCAGCCTCCAAGCCGTCCTGCCCAGACTCCCACCCACACCCTAAAAAGGTCCAGATCACTGCCTTTCAGCTGCCTGCATGCATAGATGAGATGACCACAGGTTTCCACGTACTCTCCCACCAGTGCCAGCAGTTCAATGAGCCACCGGAAGCCTGCGTGTCCGAGCTGACACAGTTCCTCTGCTCCCCACAGTCCCAGGCCTCTGCGCTTCTCAGCCTGACTCCGTTTGCGGCTCAAGCGATGTCGACCTGGGGACCTGGGATCTCTGCGTCCACCCTCCCGGGTATCCTCCTTGGTTGGGAGGCGGTGCCTCTGTCTCCGGGATGGAGCTTTCTTTCCACCGGACACACGTGAAAGATCACTGGGGAACTTAAGGGGTTCCTCATCATCATATTCTTCTTCCAACTCTTCTTTCCCCAAGGCTGGAGAGGTACAATGGTGGCAAAAGTTGCTCGAAGAGCCGTCTGCCCCCTCAGAGTAAGGCCCTTCTGGGACCCCAGGGCTCCCCTGGCAGTTGCAAGCAGATGGAATGGAAAAAAAAGCAGGGGTCCCCTCCTCCTGGTACCCAGCCTCATTCTCTCTTGAGAGGTCCTGGTCAACTCCGGAGTCCTCTGAGGACGCCTCACTCTGATCAGGGTCTTTTCCATCCCTAGGTGGTCCTGGACCCCTCGGGGGAGCCATGGCTTGGATCCGACCAGTGAGCTGGGTTTGGGGTCTGGGTGTACTTAGGACCAGAGTGTTCTGGGAGGCAGCGGGTACCATTAGAAGCAGTCCCTGTTGAGTCCCTGAGTCCTGAGAAAGAAAGTATTTCAGGGCCCACGGAGGGTCCTAAGGTCCTGAGGGAGGCACCACTGCTGTAGTGGGCTCCGCACAAGCCTCCTTCTCCGGGGTGCTTCTGGGCCATGACCCCGGGGCTTCCTGAGGGTTTTAAGTCACAGCCATCACGGTAAGTTCTGAAGCCTGTAACAGAGACAGCAAGGCAAGGATGGGACCAGGAGAGCAGTTAAACAGTCTCAAACTGGGGACAAATTTAAGGCACCCACCTTTCTGGTTCTCTCAAGTTCTGTTCTTTCCAGGCATTCGCCACACTAGCAGTTAAGTCAGAACCAGACCAACCACGACACCACATGCTCCCTCCCCGCTCCTTCAAATCTCCTTAATTTTTCCTTCTGGCCCCACAGACCTATCATCTTAAATAACAGGAAGGGGGAAGTACCTCAAAGGGTGTGGTCCGGGGCGAGGGTCACTCTTAGGGAAAAGGGAAAGACGGCCGAAAAGAGGGGCCGCAGGCTGCCAGAAAAGGGTGGGGATCGTGCGGCCCTTAGAGGAAAACGTGGAGGCGGAGCCCAGGATTGCCGCGGAGAAAGGCCTCCAGGTAACTCACGGGCTGGGTAGAAGCGGCGACGGAAACGTACCGAAGAGCGGCGGTAACTCCTCCCCCGCGAGCAGCTGGGCCTGGGGCCAGGGGGAGCTACGAGCGCAGCTCCCCCGGCTCCGCCTCCCGCTCACGCTCCGCTTCCGCCTTCCGTCCCCGCCGCGACAGCCGACCTGCTCCTACTTCCACCTCCGGGGTCACCACGAAAGAGACGGGAAGGAAAAGGGAAAGCGGTTGGGCGAGGCGCGAGCCAGTCCGAGCCGTGTCAGCGAGGGCGGGCCTAGGGACTCCCTGACCCCACCCCTTAAAGGGCCCTGTGCTGCAGTCCCCCGCGTGCTGTGAGGGGGTGCCCGAAGGTTACACCGCTAGAAGCGGAGCAAGCGGTCTCTGCAGTAACGCCTGCGGACTCTGAGGGTTGCTTTGCCGAGACTGGTCGCGGTGGACAACTCCTGAACCATACATAGCCCGCTTCCCTTGCATACAAAACCTAGGAACCCAGAGGCGTCACCGCCCCGATGCCCTCTTTGCCGACTGCCGTGAGGACAGAGGCCTCTTTGTGTCCTGCAAAAGTGGAGCGGAGGAGAGGACGCCTCCGGCTAGCCCCCGCCCTGGCCCGGCAGCGCTGTCCCCCCCCTTTCCCAGCAACCCTCCGGAGCCCGACCCAGCTGGCGAGCTGCCCCCAGTGACTGCAGCTCTCACGGCTTGGATCCGCCCCTCCGGACGGTGCTTCCAGGCCCGATCACGGAACGGGGTCAGGGGGACTGAGAGCGCAGTTCCACTGGGGCCGAGAACCATTGCCGAGTGCCAAGGAACACTGGACTCTTCTGCCTGCTGCTTTGCATCTCATTTGCATACCGAGCCCTACGGGCAGCGTCGACTCGAGACCCCCCTCCCCCTCGCGGACCCTAAATGGTCCCCTTCTCTGCACACGACTTCAGCCTTACAGCGATCTTGTCAGCGCCCCTTCCAGACCCCGTCTTGATCTGCAAGTCTGGCACTCATGAGCCCCCCACCGGCGCCCCCAACCAGTGAAAGCCCCTTCCCCGGGTCCCCGATCCCGACCACCCGGTTCTCCAGAAGACAATACTCCAATTCTCTGGGAAGTGGAAGAAACCAAGCCGAAGCGAGGGGGGCGCTGGGACCTCAGTTGGGATTCTGAGAGCTTCCAGTTGTCCAATCTTCTCTGAAGTATTCAGAGATCTTTCCCCTAAACCCTTTGCGACGCCCTACAAGACCCTTCCCCGATATACTTGGAGGTCTCTGGTCCCAAACTGGAGCAGAATGCAACCCGAGTCCCCCCCACGCACAGAGGAAAGAGTTGGAGGGGCCTGCCCCGTGATGTCACCCCCTCCCCAACACACACATGCACACCCTGTCCCCTTCCTCCACCTCCTAAGCTAGTTGCATTGGCTCACAGGGCTTGAGCTGCGACTTGCAAGAGTTTAGGGGCAACGAGCAGAGTGGCCCTGGGGGTACCCACATCCAACAAGCCGTTCCAGTGCCTGGGACCTCAGGGCGGGGATGCAGCTGGGAGCCTAGGGAAGCACTTCCACCTCCCCCCTCCTCAGCCGTGGCAGGGTGGTGAGTAGTTAACACTCCCTCCCCAACTTCCCCTTGTTTAGGCTCCCCAAACTTCCAAGCAGATTAAGGAGAGAAACCCCAGAATTCCTCATGCCAATGTCTCAGGTTGTTGGGTCCTTGATGTCCAAAAGACAGCTAAAGGAAAGTACCTACATCTATGCTACCCACTCCCACGGTGCCCCAGATGCCACCCCCTCCTCAGTGTGCCCCTTGCGGGACCTGCACTGAAATCCCATTAGCAGCTCCGACACCCTTGGGGAAAGGGAGGGGTAGGAAAAGTCCCGAGGGGAGGAGCAAGAGCTACCAGGATGTGAGACGTCTGTGGACAAGGCTCCCGCTCATTGCATGAGGGGCCTTGGGATACTGACCGTCTGGCTGGACGCCCTTTCCGGGACGGGATCCATGTCAGCATGAAGCTGAGACTTTAAAACCCTGACAAACTGGGTGATTGTTGCCACTTAATTCCTTGTCCCAAACTCTTAGTGTCTTTTTTTTTTTTTTTTTTTTTGCCCCCTTTCTTCCCTGGGTTTGGAGCCACTGTCAGAAGACCCTACCATGACTCATTCTCTCCTCTTCTTCCTCCCTCTCCCCCCTCTATTAACCCCACCCTTGCCAATCCAGTGGGGTAGCATTGAGTCTCAGCTGCAGATGGGGCAAGCTTTCCTTTAAGCTAGAACAGGATGCTGGGACTTTAGCCCCTAGTCCTCTTAGTGCCTCTGCACCCCTCCCTACAAAGACCTGGGGCTTCCCAGACCTCCTGCCCTCACCCCAGAAAACTGGAAGGGAAAATCTCTTACCTTAGCAGATTTTCATTTAAGTTTTATTCAGTGCCTTTGTTTTAGAGGGTGGTGGAGAGACATCCCGCTCCCTTCACCCCACTGCTATAGATTTCTGTAATCACCCCAGCAGGGGCTGTGCTCCCTCTTGAAAGTGGCCATTCCTCAGAAGTAGAGGTGGAGTCCCTGTTTGCTGCCCCCTTGCAGGTTTCCCAACACCCTCAAGACATTCCTGGATGGATGAGAGGACCTGACACGGACCCACGCCGAAACCACCTTCTCTTTGGCCATGGAGGAGGACGCCTTCTTTCCCCTGGCTCTGACATCCGACTCAAGGGCCTTTAATCAACAACTCCCAGAGCCTCCGGACCCAAGATGTGTCTTGGAACCCCAGAACAATCCTGAACTGGCACCTGCCCTGGTGTGTGCCCTCTGCTGCTGTTTTGGAATCATCTACTGCTGCTTCGGTGAGGGCAAGACCAAGGTCCCGGAAAGGGGTGGCTGCCCAAGACGGTCACTCTCAGCCATGATGCCGACTTTCTGCTTGGCTTTGGGGCCACTCTGTCGGGGGGTGCCTGCCTTCAAGGGGGCCCACGCCGCCCTTGCCAGCTCCTTGACCATCCCCCACGCTCACGCCCCCAGCTCTGACCTTTGGTGTCCCTCACTTGCCCTCCTCCTCCTCCTTCTCCTGCTGCTCCAAGTCTCACTTCCAAATCATCCTCCATGCTAATACTCCTGCACCCCTCTTCCTAGCTGCCATCCTGGGAAGATCAGACCTTCTTTCTGCACTTACTCTCCCTGGCGCATCCATCTTACCTCCCAATGTGCCCTTTCATCCCCTTACAGTTCTGAGACCACCATGCCCACCTTGCCCTCCCTGCGTTTGTCTCTTTCTGCCCCTCGCCTTGAGGTCCTTGGTGTGCTGCTCGTGTCCTCTGCCCCTCTGGGTAGTCATTCCTTTCCCTCCCGCTCCATCACCTGTCCGCCCCCACACCGTGTCAAGCCCCCTTTCTGCATCTCAGTGCCTCCTGCCTCCCTTCCCAGGCTACCGCTGCTTCAAGGCAGTGATGTTTCTCTCGGGCCTGCTGTCGGGAGCCCTGGTGATCTTCCTGTTGTGCCACAAGGAGCAAGTGCTGGAGACACAGCTGAGCCTGGAGGTGAGCGCAGGCATCGCACTGGGCATCGGACTCCTCTGTGGCCTGGTCACCATGCTGGTTCGCAGTGTCGGGCTCTTCCTGACTGGTCTCCTGCTAGGTCTGACCGTGGGCGCCGGGACTCTGCTGGGCACTGAGCCCATCTACCAGCCACCTTCAGCCTGGGTGCCAGCTGGGGCGCTGGTGGGGCTGGCACTGCTGGGAGCCCTGCTCACGCTTCGGTGGCCACGTCCGTTCACAGTTCTGGGCACAGCCCTGCTGGGTGCTGCAGTGCTGGTGGCCTGTGCTGACTACTTCCTGGAGGGACTGGTGCTGGGCAGTCGGCTGGGCCAACGCCTGCAGGCACTTCCGGCCTTGCCTCCTCTCTGCTGGTATAGCTGGGTCTTACTGGGGACCTGGCCAGCCTTGGGGGCTCTTGGGGCCCTGGCCCAGTGGAAACTCATGGCCGAGGAACACGGAGGTCACGCCAATGGTGAGTTAGCGCTGTGGTAGGTACAGAAGCAGCCAACCTGTGCCTACTCGTGTCCTCAGTTCCCAGACTTGGGGAGGGGGGGGGGGGAAATGGCCTGGAGGTGGGGGAAGGCCCTCCAGAGTAAATGCCACAGGGAATTAAGAGAAGGCTGGAGTCGAAGGAGCCAAAAGAGGGCTGGGCAAAAAGGAGGAGAGAAATTGTGAGGGGGAGGCAGGGAGGAGCTTTTCAGAATGGTCGTGGAAGGAGAGGAGGATCTCAGGGAGAAGCAAGAGCAAAGAGTAGGAGAATTCTAAAGAGGCATTTCTCCTAGGATATAGGGAGAAAGGTGAGGCTTGAGAAAACCATAACAGATCAAATGGGCTTCTCTAGGGAGCACATGTGTTGGGGGGTAGGAGGGAGGAGGGTCTACAGAGGCATCCTCGAGTCCACATTACCCTCCCAAGCAGGGGTGGTGAGCCGTCAGCAAAGGCATCTCCAGCTCCTTCGGCTCCACCAGCAAGAGGCCAAGTGGCACCGGAGCCCCCCTGGGGCGGGGCTTTGTGAGGGAGGCTGTCGGCGACAGCCGCTCCCTAGTGCCCGAAGCCCTGCCGACAGTCTGGCTCCGGTGAGTGGGAGCTGGGGCACCCCAAGGGGTGGGGTACAGCATATATGGATGGGGAGGGTCAGGGTGGGAGGGAGACTCTGACGCAGGCCCCGCCTCCCCCCTCCAGAGTTTTCTCCAGAGTCTTCGAGACCGCCAGCTGGGACCAGGAACCCAGGCCACAGCCCCGCATACCACCTTGGACTTGTATTCTGACTGCGGTTCCACTGTACCTCTCACCACACCCTCTGGCCCCACCCAGACCGGACCTTAAACCTCCACGGTCGCCCCTAACCCTAGTGAAGGCCTGGAGACACTCAGTGGACGGGCCCTGAGCCCAGGGGACCCGCACACAGACTCTAGGGGACCCGCACACAGACTCCCCCACCTCTTGGATTTGGGGATAGGATCGGGGCTCTACCCCAGACCAGCTGTGGAGGGATATGTTTCTGGGACACATAGGAATCTGGTGGGGTCGGAAGGGGATGGTGAGGAATGGAAATAGTAGCACCTACCTCTGTCCAGCAATAGAGGTGCCCTCACACCCAAAGAAACTGACCCCCTAATTCTCTCCAAACCAAGGAGGATCCTTGCCCAAACAGCTTCTTAAATGCCTGCTCCAATGTGCCACACGGTGGTAAAACAAGGGGTCTTGTTTTTCTAGGACTTACAGAAAATCAGGTAGCCTCCCATGGCATTTGAAAGCTTTTTAATGGGGAGAGGAGTTCCAGGATCCCCCAATCCCCAGGTCTCCCACTAGGAGGTCACCGGGTTTCTTGTCGGCCTTTTGCCCTGCACCCCATAGGACTGAGCCCCCTTCTTCTACCTCAGTTGGGAGCACTACCCACCGTGGTGCCTCAGTTTCTCTGCTTCCCGATCTAGGGAAGAGCACAGAACCATGCCCGCCTCAACACCACCTCCCCCTAAAGTGGCTCCTTGTTCCAAGGAGACAGCATTGGTTCACATGCCAGTCTTGCCCCTTTTCCCAGAGGATCTTGGTCTTCGGGCTGCGTGGCAGACAAGTGCCTTATCTGCTTCTCACTGTGGATGATACTAATCCTTAATGCTGACCCACTCACTGACCCATTCTAACTCTTCCCCTCTCTGCCTCTCCTGCCCAAGGTCTGTGTCCTGGTTCCCCAGACAACATGAAGGAAGACATATCCCTCCTCTGGGCAGCAAGGCCATGATGGGAGGGAGGAAGACCTTGGGAACATTGAATAAAATGGCATTAAACCCTGAACCAGGGAGTCCAGCCTCTGCTGTTGCTGCTCTTCTCTTTCTCTGCACCCCAAAACGAGGAGCCGTGTTGACAAATCTTCTGTCCCTTACAGGTTAGATAGGGGTGCCCCGCTCAGCCTGTTGTAGGAGCCACACACCAGACAGCTGAAGGAGGAGCTCTGCTGTCCTCCCTTGTCAACATGGAGTTTGCCTTTATTAAACACAAATGTGCCAAACGCTCTGCCAGGCACCTCACTTACAGTCTTTCATTTACTGCAACCGCCCTGCAGGACTGGGGAATCCAAAGTTCAAGGAGGTTAATTAGCCTGCCCAGAGTCGGAAGCAAGCAAATGCGATTCACAAGGTTCACAAGGCCTCCAAAGCCCTGGCTCATTTGACAAGCTGTGCCCTTTCTCACACCGTATGGAGGGGAAAGCAGGCGCCCACCCTCCCCAGCTGTTCCCTTGTGTCAGCTGGCAGCCTGGCTGACGCTCCGCTCTGTCATCATCTTCCAGAGAGTAGATGACACAGCTGGAAGTGCTCTCTGGGATGGGGGGAGTGGGAAATGGCTGGAGTTCGGGGATTGAATTAAAGGTAGGGAGGCATTTCCCAGGTGGACAAGGGCACGGGAGAGTAGTGGCTGGAAGTGGAACTAGAACAGAGGTCCATGGTTCACGCTCCTGATGCAGTGCCCGCATAGTTCAGTGAGTAAACATTTGATTTGGCCTTAGATCACTGGGAGGATGACATTGGGAGAAAACGAAAGGGTGGTCGCGTCTGCGGCTGAGGGCGTCCTGTCCGAGACCGCGTCGGTGTCTACGGCTGAAGCGGTGGTCGCCAGAGATGTGCCCGTGACGGAGCGAGTGGTGCCCTCACCTGGCAGCGTAGGTTCTGGGGTCTGAGGGTGACAGTGCATCCAGTCCTGGGCGACACTTTTGGGATAGCCTTTCTCTACGCGAAGCTGCCGGTTGAGACGCCAGTACTCTCCGCCCTTGAAGAAGTAGACGTGGCCATCACGCCAACTCACAGCAGCCGAGGGCTGGTCTGGCACTCCCGTAAACAGCCCCTTGATTGGTTTGGGGTAGCGGCTGAAGTCCGTCAGGGCCAGCTCGTCCCACTGCCAGTACCCCGAGCCCTGGGTATGGGGTAGGTGGGGAGAATAAGAGGATGAGGAGAAGCTTAGGCACCCCGTAGAGGTCACCCTCACCTGCAGATCTCTTGCCCACAGGAAGCCACTAATTCTCAGCATGAAATCATCCATTCTCCAAAGAAGCAATTTGCCCTTGTTTGGAACTGTATACCTTAAAGAGGAACACCTTTTGGTTGAGAGGCCAAAAGAGAGCAGCATCCAGGTTAGGCTCGATCCGATTCAGCTTCTTGGGGAAGCCGGGAGCCATCTTGAAATTAATGTAGCGCCACACCTTGTCTCCTGAGAACCGTGAGGAAAGAACAAATCACCTCTGTCCTCGGGTGAGTTTTGGCCCCTGCATTCCAGGGTCTCAGAAATGTCTTGCCTCTCCCTCCCTTTCCTTGGGAGAAGGCCTCTCTCAGGCAAGACGCTGCAAGCAGCCCCCTTACCCTTGAAGAAGTGGATCCTCTGTGTTCGAGGAGAGTAGACAGCAGCATCCAGGTTTCCCGGGAGCCCCTCCCAAAGAGCAGACACTCGGAACAAGGGGCCCAGCCCTGCGTCTGTCACGGTCCACACGTAGTCCCCCCGGAAGGCATAGGTCTTCCCACGGGGCCCTGCGAGCAAAGTTGTATTGCTGAGTCAATGAGACAGAGGTCAAGGAAAGACTTGTGGGTGTCTCAGGGCAGCTGGTCATTTGCCCTCCTCCCATAGGCTGAGTCTTAAAAAAAAAATCTACTCCAAGTGGCTTCCAAGGTGTCCTCTCAACCAAGTGCCACAGCCTCCTTAACACACATTCCAATTAATATAGGCTTCAACATCTTGTTGCATTTCTAGGTATGTTCTGGTGGCTTCTACAGGGTAGCAGCCTTGATAAGCGCCTGTCTGCACCAGTTCGAGTCCCGGCTGTTCCTCTTCCAATCTGGCTCTCTGCTGTGGCCTAAGAAAGCAGTAGAAGATGGCCCAAGTCCTTGGGCCCCTGCACCCGTGTGGGAGACCCAGAAGAAGCTCCTGGCTCCTCGGCGCAGCTCCGGCCATTGGGGCCATCTGGGGAGTGAACCAGCAGATGGAACACCTCTTTCTCTGTCTCTACCTCTCTCTGTAACTCTGTCTTTCAAATAAATAAAATAAATCTTAAAAAAAAAAATAAGTGCCTGTATGGCCTATCTTTAATTTGGCTCTGAATCTTCCCTCTGTGCCACATCTCCTTCTGTGGCCACCAACTCCCGCCTGGGGTCTAACCTCCATTGCTCATGCTGAAGTCCCATGTCATTCCTATCTGGGCAGGCTAGAGGGTCAGCAGGCTGCCCCCACTGCCTGCCTACAGAGCCTGGAGGGAAAAGGCCTCACCCAGCATCACAGCGTCCAGTTCACCACTGCAGGGGTTTGGCATGGGACCGGGCTCTGTGGGCAGCTCTGTCTCTTCTTCTTCCTCATCTGTTGTCTCTGGGATCTTCTTGCCTGCAAGAAACAGTGCTGTGTAAGGAGGGACCTCCTAGCACCTGGCCTCCCCATTGGCCCAGAGGATCCATATACAGGGAAGAGGGAATCCTCAGGGTTCCCTTGGTGGTACGCAGTATCGTTCGTATTGACACCAGCAAGAGACACATTTTGCTTTCGAGAAGCGCCAGAAAGGGGGAAGGAGGCTTGCTGAGATGTGTATCCTCTACCCCCAAGAATAGATGAGAGGGGCAAGTGGCCTACAAGGAAGATGAGACATGGAAGAGCCAAAGAGAAGAGTTCCTGACAATGAAGAAGGCTGGAGAAGTGGGCTAGGGGGAGAGAACTAAACCAAACCAAACCCCTCCATGGGAGCTCGATTTGTCTCTGCAAGTTGGTCAGACTGACCGTAGAGAGCCTGGATCCCTGCCACATCGTCCGGGTGCAACCGGAAGTAGGGTCGGTAGCCAGCATAGACAGGAGCCATGAGGGCCTTGGTGTAGCGGGAGTGGCCGAGCCCCAGGGCGTGGCCCAGTTCGTGGGCTGCGATGATGCGCAGGTTCACTCCCCGGTAGGTGCCCTCAGTCCAGAGCTCATCTTCATCAAAGTGCACACTGCCCAGCTCTGGGATGTCAGCGTGGGCCAGGACTCTCCCTGGACAAAGGCAAAGTGGACAGGAAGGAGGTTAGAGCCCACCAGCTTGGGTCCTAGCCTGCTTGGTATTACCCCTAGTCCCCACCCCCCAGCCATGATCCTTGTCTCTTGGATGTCCTTTACCTCCCCAGCCACTCTCTCTTCTCTGACCCAGGCCTCAAGTAGGGGAACTTAAGCCAGGGAAGGAGGCACACGCTTCCAAGAAGAGGCTTGGTTAGGCCCAGGCAGGTGAGCAGCTGCTCCTCCAGGGAATGTTAGAGAGTGTAGGGTGCAAGCGGGCCTAGGGCAGCCTGCACATTAAGGTTCCAGAGTCCTGGGCTGAGGGAGACACAGGAGATCTTCGCCGTCTGTGAGGTGGAAACCGAGAGATGGCACCTACCAGGCCCATCGAAGGCATTGGAGCAGTAGAGGCTCTGGCGGCCGTGGAAGGAAAGGCGGATGTCAGCCCGGCCGGCCTGCACCTCCTGGAAGGTCAGGGGGGCCACCTCACTCCAGTACCGGAAGGCTTGAAGCAGGGCTTCCCGAGCTATGTGGGATGGGAGGGTGGAGGGCAGGTTCAGGATGCGGAAGGTCAGGTGCTTCTTCCTCCAGCGGCCTGGTCAAGAGACCAGAAAATAGGTTAGAGACAGAGATCATTTCAACAGCTCCAGAGAGCTCCCGGAGTCTGGGCACTCACAATTCCCTCCAGGCAGGTAATAACCAGATGACAACCCATTCAATATCAAGCTGCTGCAGGCTGTCCCAAAGCTGCCCGAGCTCCAGGACGGCACCACCTACACCCTCCCTTTCCCTGTCTCAATCCTCACCCAGCAGCAGGTATTTAAGGGTCTTCTGATTGAAGGGGTCTTCCAGGCCACAACGAGGCTGCCTCATACGGGCCCTTACGGCATCATCCAGCTGCCCTGAGACTGGCAGCTCAGATGCTTCCTGAAAAGCCCTGGAAAGAGGAAGAGAGATAAGTCCACTGGAGCCGAGGATTCTGAAAAAATGGAAACTGGGCACGGCTCTCTGGCCTCCCGCCGCCCAAGGTGTTGGCTGAGAATGGCACAGAATCTCTGAGGCTGATGTGGTCAGCCCAGGCTCCAGTCCTCATAGGAGAATCTTTCTCTTGGACCCGCAGAAATGGCGGTCTGCAGCTTCACCCTCCCACATCTCCGTCTCTCTTGTTTGAGTGAGAGTTCCCTCGGGTCTTCTCTCTTCTCCCCTACTGCAGTTTTTTTTTCTTTTTAAGATTTGTTGATTTGAAAGGCAGAGTTACAGAGAGAGAGAGAGAGAAGGAGTAAGATCTTTGATTCACTCCCCAAATGGCCGCAACAGTTGGGGCTGAGCCAGGCCGAAGCCAGGGAGCTTCATCCAGGTCTCACACATGGGTGCAGGCAAGCACTTGGGCCATCTGCTGCTGCTTTCCCAGGTACATTAGCAGGGACCTGGATCCGAAGTGGAGCAGCTGGGATTCGAACCGGCGGTCATGTGGGATGCTGGCAGTGCAGCAGCGGTTTAACCCACCGCACCACAGCGCCTACTGCAGTGTCTAACTGTCGGCTCTGGGGAGGTGTCTGCTCCTCTGCTCCAGAGATTCTCCACGCAGTGCTCCCACTTGATGACCCATCCTCCCTCAGCCTTCTCCCCTCTGGAAGCACTCTCCTCCCAACCTAGCCTGCTCTGGGGCACTGTCATCCACCTATGGACCACTGTAGGGCCCGTGGGCTTTCCAAGGGGTCTGAACAGAACGAAAGAACAGCAAGAAAAACAATCCACTACAAATAAAATATTGAGGAACATTACAAAAGAGGAATAAATAA